CCTGCAAATGTTTTTACATTTGAGAAGCTGGAACCAGTTAATATTTTGGCATTTTTGCTTATAAAATTACGACCATTAATTGATGGATTGTTGCAGATTCAGTTTCTGTTGATCCACTAATCAGATCAAATCTTGGACAACTTGTGCTATGTCATCCTTAACCAGGGGGAGGCAGAAATGTGCAGTTTGTTGTTGAATTCCCCCACCCTTTGATAGTCTCCATTTCTTCTATCATGTTTCATCCTCTGATAAGAGGCACCTCCTTTTATTAGCTGATCTCCCTCACTCTCTCTGTCGGTCTCCCTCTGTGTCTGTATCTCTCTCTCTCTCTGGGGATATCTTTCCTAAGTGCATTCTACGGTAAATCAAACCACAAAGCTTTCATTCAGCCAAAGCGGAGGGAGAGTGGTTACATCTGGCCTCTGCCTGATACAGAGAAATGCTTTATCAGGGGAGGAGATGCAGAGCAAGACAGAGAGAAAGAGGGAGAGGGAGACATTGTCCTGGTCTGACGTTGACTGATTACAAAAATGATGAGAGTGAATTGTAATTATTCTCACAGAGATGAGAGGTGTGGAAGAACAGTGAAGGGAGAGGAGCAACAGAAGAGGTAATGGATGATGAATTGATGATCAGTCCAAAGAAGGAGGAGATGGTGTAAATAAGAGATGGAGGACAGAGTTGTGGGTTAAGCAGAGCTAATCACTTAAAAGCCTTAACGCAGGAAGTACATAATCAGCATCCAGGCATCAGCTAATAGGAGGCAGTGAAATACTCTTTTCAGATTAAAGCAAAGACTTGTTTTTTCTTTTGTTAGCTAACTGCAAAGCTGCAAAGCTGAAACTTGATTATGGAGGGTGAGGTGTTGCTTTTGGTTTATGATGAAACAGCCAAAAAAGTTAAACTACCGGAATATTGTTTGCCCCACCAAGTAGAGCCAGATCTCATGGGGAATGCATACATATTTGGAAATAAATGTTTCCTCAAAGAACTACATTTGGCCAGGATAGTTATGTGATATTTTTAAAAATGTCACCTTTTGTTGGCTTTGTGTGAACAGGGTTAATATTAATGGTCATGAAAACATGTTGACAGCATTAGAGAGACCATTTTTGAATTTGCAGACCCAATTGAGGACATCACTGCAGTTGACCAATAATCAATAATCTAGTATGAATGAATAATTGATTAATGAAATTGAATTAAATATTTGGTTTATTTTCCTGTATTTATGACTTTCACTACAAAGATGGCGCTGTTTGTGAATGGGACGCTTATGAGAGATTATGCCCTGGTCCTTTCCCATTTTGAAACATTAGCCTGTTTTCTCTTTCTCTTAGTCTCTCTCTGTAATATAGATATTTTTTTTCGTGGGGTCTGGTGTCCTAGTGGTAATGATTAGTCCATAGTTGCATCCAGGGACCTTTGTTTCATGTCACGCCTCTGGTGTTTCCTGTTTGGATCTCTAACTGTTTCAATCAAATAAACACAAAAAAGTGTTTCATTTGCAGTATCATATTACTGTTCAATTCAACCCACCGATCAATCATTTGATGTCCCTCTCTTCTGTTTTCTTACTCAGGTCCTACAAGAGCAGCTCAGGAGTGAATAACAGAAGGACTGAGCTCTTCCTGAAGGAACATGAGCATCTCAGAAAGTAAGAGATTTCTTAACAAACAACTCATCACTGGAACAGATTGGCAGGAAATTAATATTTGTGTTTTCAAGAAGGCCAAAACTTTGTCCTAAATCCCTTCTTATTTACTGTATAGTTCGCCCTATCAACTTTTCACCATTTTATTTGATTGTTTGAGTTCTGAGTGTGATGTTAATGCTTTAAACGTGGTGCCCTGAACATTTTCCACAATAGAAGTGGAGTTGTTGTAGAGTAGATTGTATGTATTGTAAGTATGTATTTTTCTATTCAACGTTTGTTATCTCCATTACGACAATGACTCCTCTGGTATCAGTGCATGTGGAGAACCAGTCATTTACATAAAATGATGCACCTACAAGTTCTTAGAAAGCTCGTAATATATTCCTTATAATAAAACAACGTAGCCTTTGTTCCAAAACTAGCATATGAAAGTTGTTGAGGAACATGTTTGGTTACCTGGTTAGGACTGAGTGGGCAGTTTGGTGTGAAATATGACCAGTACACGTGCTTCTGTTTGTGTGTGGTTATGCGTACATGCACATATGCACGTCAGTGGTTTACTGGACATGTTGTTAATCATGTTTGTGGTTGATAATAGATTTCTCATGCACTTTCACGTGACTGCACTCAAACAAACAAAGATTAACACAATATAAAACGCAGAAGTAAAACATTGTGGTTAGAAATAGGTTTCAGAGCTAATCTGCTGGAGGAATAGAGACCATTCTTCCAAAATATATTTCCCCATTTGGTGTTTTGATGACGGTGGTGAGGAGTGTTGTTGAACACTTTGTTCCAAAATGTCCCATAGGTACTCGGTTTCATTGAGATCCTGTGACTGTGATCTTACAATCTTCAAATCAGGTCACATTTTAGCTGAGGCAATGTGGAAGTGTCCAATAAGGTTTAAGGCTTTTTCTGATTATTAAATATCATAGCTTTCCATAACTGTGCACTGGGGAGGATGTAGGCAAAGACATTATTGGGTTATATTATGGTAATACAGTATTTAACTTAACTTAAATTAGAATAACATGTCTATATGTGCAAGTGTTTGTGGTTATGTGTACATGCACATATGCATGTCCATGGTTTACTGGACACTTGTTCATCACGTTTTCTTGTGGCTGATATATTTCTTACGGACTCTCATGACTGCACTCAACCAGAGGAAGGTTAACAGACAAAGAAAATAAAAGGGCTGAAGTAAAAGAGAGGATGTGGTGACAAAAAGGAGCAGAAGACATCAAGTGAATCTCAGCTGCTCGCAGCAACGTGTTCCTGATGTGTCATGAAACAGCTCGGCAATTTGTCCATCAGAATGAAAAGATGATTTCTGAGTCCTTTAATATTTTGTCTGATACTTATATTTACCTAAATGTTGACTAAAGGTGTATCTGACTATGGCTGCCCCCGACTAAAGATTTTCCTAGCTGACTAGCAGTTATTTGTCGTAGCACATTTATGATATTAATTATTATTATTTAAATATATATATTTTAACAGCTGCCTGTTAAACGATGAACGGGAAAAGCAGTAATGAATCTGAACATACTGAGCTATAGTTCATTTATTTCAACACAGTATAACATCACACAAATCTCGTTCAAAACATGGAATAAATAACTTCTAACTGCACAAAAACAAATACTGGTGGACTTATCGACACAATGGATGATGTATAACAGTTACTTACAAATTAACTGGCCACAAACTTGCTCCTCTTCCTCCGTTTGATGTGTCTCCTGACGCTGCCTGAACCCACCATTTTTGTTTTTCTCCGACTAATGAGAAGTGGTCGACTCCTCTCAGCGACCAACAGTTAAGTCGACTATTAAAGAGCGGCCCTATATTTGACACAACAGCTGTACAACCTACCTAACCTGACACTTATTTTTCAAATGCTACTTGATACAAATACTGGTTCAAAAAATCTCAAATTATAGATTTATAGATATGAAGTAATAATTTATTGGGAAAATGTGACACGATCCACTCAAGAGAAGATATGCTAGCTTATTTGAGTTGTTGGAACTACACACCTTCACACACCTTCACACACCTTCACACATCTACATTTTCACTGGTATGTGAGAACTGTAGAGCTCAGCTCTTGTGAAAGATATCCGCGCTGCAACACCAGCAGCCTGAGGTGGATACAGCACAGTAGAGTTCACTAAAGAAAGGATCAGATTTTAGTCGGCTTTATTTTAGTCGATACTGATGCATTAAAATATCTCTAGTTATTAGGTTTCTTAGTTAAGTATTGGGCTACCACAAGCCTCCAGAACAACTGCAGTGCTCCATTTTATACATTATACTTCAAGTCTGTAAACTCTACTGGAGGGAAAGACCCCATTATTCCTAAATATATTCCTGATTTAGGTGTTTAGGTGTTTAGAGTGCTGTCTAACACTGTAAGAGAGACTTTGAGATCCAGTGACTGCGAAGGCCACAACATATGATTCGTAGAAAGTCTACCACTTTGTTCCAGACTGAATTATCTCTCTCAATTATTGGATACATTTGAAATACAATTTTGAACATGATGAGTAGGGGATGGGTCCTGATGATTTGGTTAATGTTCAACCCTTTTCCACATTTCATCACGGTCACTATGAAATTTTATATCCAGCAGCACTGTGGCTGGTGAACAATGGTCTCAGTGAAATTGATATGCTTTTTAAACTGAGAACCCAAAGAGCTTCAAAATGGCAGAATTATCATATTTGTTTTTAATGTGGTCTTTTTAGCACACATTTCCTTAAACATAAGACATTATTGTAAAATGTTAACTTATTACATAGCTGTTGATGAACATGTAGTAACATGTATTGTAATTATATGATTCTCAGAAGGGATTTATCCTATTTACCCACTGACCCACCTTTATACAGTATACTCTTTATATAAATCAAATAATAAAAACTCTCGTTTCCTTTTACTTCTTCACTTACAGTAAATGATGATGATCACAATCACAAGCAGTGAGGTAAGGTTTGTTCAGAGTAATATAATGTAATCCTAGAAACAGATTTCTTCTGCATACATGCATCGTGTACACTCTCCTCCATAAATAATTGTTTCCCATTCAGATTACCATTCCCCCTAAATTAAAATAAATAAATATTACAACTACGGTGGCGTTTTAAGCAACGCCAGAGATTCTCTTAATACATACACTCACCTATACGGCACCATGTGTTTTCAGCTGTATTTATTGTGTTTAGTTAAAATTATTGTGCTTAATAACTACTTCACACCACTTACACCACCATAAAAAAACTGTTGTTAGTTGTCAGAGGTGACACTTACCAAGATAGTTCAGTAAAGACAATAAAACTTTAACGTCAAACAAAGTTTATTGTGAGACAATAGACACATTTGTAAAGAATGGTGAAAAAACTGAGACAAAAAAGCTTTTTAAACATAATATGTCATATACAGTAGTAACATTTGTTGCTGTCATATTGGCACTGTGGTCCATGATCCTTTCAACTGGGAGAGAAAGAGATGGAGAAAAGCAGAGTCACAGAAACAGTAACAGTAAAGTTAAAAGATAATGCCTGTGTGCTTGTAAATAATACGCCTGCAAATACAAAACATATACTTGAACACATCCAAACTGTGTCATTGTGACGACTCACCCTTACGTTAGTTAATGTTGATATTGTTCCCAACACCGAAGCCTCCTGAGTTGAACCCAATCCCTGCGTTGTTTGCGTTGCCAATGTTTATTTCAACTCCTTTTCCTCCTGTTGATTTACAAAGAAAAACAAAATAAATAAAATCACATTAACTGTTAATTTTTAGTGTACAGATTCTAGTCTTATACATCAGTCAGAAAGCATGAAAGCTACAAGCACCTTCCCAGCTATATAGGACACAGGACTCACCGTTCACATTGCAGTTGTTCCCAACGCCAATACCTCCTACATTGTCTCCAACCGTCATGTTGCCTATGTTGCCAATACCTATTTTGACTCCTTCTCCTCCTGAAGAATGAATGAAGAATATGTGTAAGTGTTCATACTGGCATTAGCACAGACAGTCATGGGGGAAAAAGATGTTTTTTGATTGTTGTAAAGTATATATTAAAGGTTATATATGGGATTTAAAATGTTGATATAGCAGCAGACATCTATTTTCTATGTAAATATATAGTGGAGTCCTGAACTGACGTCCCACTGCCTTTGCCTGTGACTCTGTGAAATAAGGGTTTATTTGTACCAAACGAGTGTTGGTGATTGTTGGAAAGTCTGTGGAAAGACTACAAAAAGTTTCGTATATAACCTTAAAATGTCAATATCCATATGAGTCTCAAATCAAGTGTCAGTGGGTCTGTATCAAAAACCCCCATACAGCGTTTTGCCGTCTTATAAGCCTTTCAAGTTATTACCAAACTATCCTTCCTGGATTATTGTTCAATGTGGCACTAACTGTAGTACCTGAGTACCAACATACTGCTGTTTTCAGTCTGTATCTAGTAACAAAACAAACATCATGAATGTGCCCATGTCTGCCAACTTCTCAGCAATGTGAGACAGAAAACTCACCCATTACATTACAGTTGTTTCCTGCACCAATGTCTCCTGTGTTGGCTCCAGCATTCATATTACTTACGTTGCCAATATCAACTTTGACTCCTTTTCCTCCTGTTGAAATACAATTTATGATAAAATCCTATCAACCCTATATACTTACATGTTAAGTGTACATAATCTAATCTTACTACAAAAGTAACAAACCAGAAATCATCAATGTGCCCATTTTTATTAACTTTCCTACAATATGACTCGCAGTACTCACCGCTTACATTGCAGGTGTTCTTTGCACCAATGTCTCCTTCATTGTCTGCAACAGTCATGTTGGTTATGTTGCCAATATTGACTGCTTTTCCTCCTGTTAAACACAACAATTATAGATGTAATCACATAGTTTATCTTACTGCACAGATTCAATGAGTCAGAAATCAGTAAGTGCCCCCTCCATATGAGACACAGACCCTTCACATTGCCGGCATTCCCTGAATCTGTGGATTCAGAGTTGTTTCCAGTTCCACATCCTGTGTTACAAAAAAGTTGTATGAAGCCTTTTGTGGCTCCAGAGGGAGCGGGGCAAAGTCTGATAAATTTACTCAAGTGATGTCACAACAACACACCTGAATCTCTGACTGAACTGTTCAAATTGCATTTTTGGTGCAAGCAAGAAGAATAAAAATAAAAAAGGATTATTTTGATCTGTTTCAAAGAAACCTTCCGAGTCCAACAGTATTATGGAAGTGCACTGGCACCGCTAAGTTGATGGATTATGCTTTTAACAGTATGAGACACAGAACTCACCACACCCACTGCCGGTGTTCCCTGGATTAGTGGATCCAGAGCAGCTTCCACCTCCTGTGTTACATGAGTTGCCAGTATTTGAACCTATTCCTCCTTTTGTATTACAAAGAATTTGAACGAGAAAAAAAAATAAATTACATAAACTCTCCCTCTAGAGCTGTGTTGTAAAGATGCTGATCTCTCAGTGCAAGTGATGGATATAAAATAGTTCAACAGCACGTTTCTGCTTTCTGCAGCATTAATACCTATGGAAACTATAAAACCTGACTTCATCAACAACAACCGCCATGCAGAGGTCTAACTCACCGCTAATATTGATAGCATTATCAGCGCCAATCTTCCCTGTGTTGGTCCCAGCAACAATGTTCTTGGTGTTACTAATGCTGTGTGCCATTGTTCCTGCTCCAATCTACACAGACAGACAAAAACTTAAAAGGAAGTAGTTTTTATGAAACGGATTCAGACAAAATTCTCAGACAAAAACTCTTATAAAGACAACAACATCCGTTACAGGATCAGCTGAGAACATACATGTAAAACAGATATAAAAGTTAATAAATGCATTTTAAAAGTGTTTGATGTTGACATTAAACACAGAAACAGACACATGCAGTTATTATCTTACCTCTGGTTTGTCCTGTACTTGTTGATGTGAGGAGAGAGGACTGCAAATGTGTGTCGATAGCTTTTGGGGACGAGAACTTCCTTGTAGTAAGGAGGTGTTGGTTTTTTTTTTGTTGAACACAAAGCAGGTTCTCCCACAGACTCTAAAGGGGGTTTCATGTGTCACTGCTGCATCAGCTGAGTTTCATCATTTAAGCATTGATATCAGTCATTTTGCATTTGACTACAAACATCCTTTTTTAGAAACTACATTATCATCATACAAACATTATTTATACAAATATGCACAAATGTAACTTTGCACATTATTAGCTCGTTGTACACGTACCTACGTACTGAACTACAATGCCATTGTAACATTGTGACATTTCAAATACACACTTATACAAACACAGAAAATGTTAAATGGCATTTAAGAACTGTTCAGTTATTGGAATTATTGAGGATTGGTTGACTTTGAGACATAATATGCATAATAAAACATACAGTTAATTACCTTAAACATCAATTTCATTGTTATGCCATTTTAGAAATATTTTCCATACTTTATTGATATATGCAATGTATTATTATGAGTATTGTTATATTTATTTTAATCATATTGACATTAACATTTTCACTGAATAGGAACAGTCGGATAATAAAATATATATTTCAGTTAGTTTCATATATAATATACAGGTCCTCTATAAAACAATTAGCTGGGCTCAGTAGTCAAACTGTGTCACTGTCTACAAGTTTGTCCTTACAAGTAATTTTAACTGTACAGTTCAAAGTTTGAATACATTTGATATCATGACATTAATCACTTTTTCCATAAAGTGTTGGATATCATCCTAAACACTGAGCACAGATATAAAGGAGCTGCAGGAACTTGAATACACCTCAACAAGACTTATTTGTCAGAGATCATTTTCTATAATGTTGTATTGTCTTTGCTGTATCTTTGTAAATGTAGAGCACCAGATAGATGCAGAATTCAACTGAGTCATATATATTAATTTCAACATTATGATATGACCTAACTGTTAAATCTTATGTTATTTATTATTTTAGTATAAACATGAACATAAAGTAAAGAGCAAACCATTAACACATGTTGGTGTTTATTGATTTGAGGGTCCTGGTGCAGCCACTTTATTGCAGAAATTGCACAATAATTTGACACTGAAGGGAGATTATCAGTGTCTAATGAAATTATAGCAAGTCATTGCTAAATACTGGGATACTGAAAATCCAACTGCTGGTTAGTCCGTTTCTTGACAAAAACTACATCACAAAGACAAAACTAATGTATAATGATGTTAAGATGAAGAAAATATATAAAATATTTGAAGGCATTGAAAATAAATATAATATAAATAAAAATGAGTATTCAGCCAAGACCGTAAAGTAGATGGACTTTGTTTTTATTTGTACTTATTTGACATTCATCTCATTAATGACATTTGAAATCATGAATTTAACATTTTTTTAATACTTACTACTACTACGTCTAAGACATTTCAATTATATCACAAATTGTACATCATTTTTAGAAGAGTTGTCCATCTGTTGGAGGGCCATTTCCTAAAAGGAAGAAGGACAAAAAGCGTGGTTAAAGTACAAAGATTGGTGAGTAAATTGTGAAATAGTTTTACAATGATGCATTTACAGAAATAATTAACACATAAGGATGTCATATGCACACGTCTGATCAGGGTTTAAGCATAGTATATAGTATTATAGATCTCTGATCATTCTTCTTACCTCAGCTGATGTTAACGCGATTTCCTGCACCAATGGCTCCTGAGTTATTACCAACTGTAACACCAGCAGTGTTGCCAATCCTGGAACCATCTCCCACTCCTCCTGAGGGTTGAGAGAAGGAATCAAAAGTTAACCACAGAAACTCACATTTTTGCCGTAAAGATGATGATATCTGAACATTAGTAATGATTTAGAGATAAACTGTTAATACTGTAGCAATATTAGGAATGACTCACCTTTAAGGTCATAGCTGTTGTCTGCTCCAATACGTGCTGTGTCTGTATTTTTTCCTATAACGGTGATGCCGGTGGTGTTGCTCAGTTCAGTATTTTTTCCAAGACCTCCTGTGAGAGTTGTCATTAGAGAAAGAGATGTATGAAACTGTCAAGGCCACCTGACAGAAAAGTAAACTTACACTCATACTTACCTTTAACATCAATGGCATTGTTAGCGCCAACCTTCCCTTGGTTGTCACTAATGCGAACGTCCTCTGTGTTTGCAACATTCGACATTGTTCCTGCTGAAATCTAGACACAGATTCACTAAAAGAAAAGTAAAGTTAGTGATTGTCATAAAAATGGGTCTGTCATAGCAGCATTATAAAATGCTGAATAAAATACAAGATAGTGAATTTGTTGTATTTATAAGACAGCAGTTGACATACATACAGCAGAGCAACAGTCTTGATCTTACCACTGGTTTCAGTTGTTTGTCCTGTGTTATGAGGTGAGCTTCTTGAAATGAGGAGAGACTCTGCTTTTATAAGGGTCCTGAACATGCGTGCTCATGTCTTTGGGGGTTTAGGAGGAGGAACTTTCTAGATATGGTAAACAGTTGTTTTGTTTCTTCAGCAAAACTCTTTTGTTCCCCACAAAGTCTGAAGAGCTTTTTGTTGTAATTTTCACGTGTCTATGTTATAGTACTGGTGAGCCCCCTGCCTCCTAAAACATCTACTACTAAACAAGTGTATTTTACATTTCCTCCCCTCTCCTCTGTTGAAGGAGTAAGGTGTCCTTACAGTGTGGGTTATTTGAAACATTAAGCAGGTTATATAACATTTACAGATAGCTTCATCAATCACAGCTTCTGGTTGTGTTAAGATCTACTTAACGTTTGTGTGATGTGCGTTTAAGTATTTTCCTTGTGCTTGATCACAGATTCAAACACAAATAGTAACATCTCTTTACAACTACAATACTTGCTGTGTCATGTTATTTGTTGGACTACAGTGCTCTCTGTATCTTTTTATCTTTTTTTAATAAATCGTCTGGTTTAAGTGATATTTTATAGCAGAGCCTGGTATTTATTGAGCGTGTAACATTTCAAACGGTTCTAACAGTCATATTTATTTTTGAATTACTTTCAATATCAGACTTCTTTTTCATACTGAAACCATTAAACCACCACAAGTCACGATGTTGAGTTCTGACATTAAACTGAACCTGTTTTAGCGACTGTCTGACCTGAAGCTTCACTTTCAGTTTGAGTTTGTTGCAGTCATGATCTAAAACGTCTGACTCAGCAATGTGGTGACTGGGAACTGACACTGACTCATAAATCAGAAGGATGAGGATTTTAGAGGGACTTTACATAAACAGACCAAACCAAACATGTACAGCTGGCTTTATGATTTAGTATTCAGGCTACATATTAAGGTGACATTTGTTGAGGTCACTGTTAGCGCAGGTTTTCTTACTGTGGTTCTCTGCTCTTGTCTGCTGTTTCTTGTTCCTTTTGTTTCGCTGTTGTCCAAACTTCTCCGAGAGTAAATGATGTTATTAGTGTGCGTTTTTGTGAAGGTAACATAATGTAACAGAGCAAGACAACGCCATGTTCTTAAAGTTGGCTATCTTAAAGTTTAATTTCCTTCAGTTTAAAATATTTCTTTCCATATTTCAAGTGTCTAACTTTGCACAAGCAGCTTATCTAAATGATCTTATTAAAGCCACGAATATGTTGTCTTTTTATTTCTTTTTCTTTTGTGTGATTCACCTGTCAAGCTTCTTTTTGAAATGTTTAACTTAATAAGAGATTAATAATCAGAGCATCAATCACAGCTCTGTCCATACAGTATAGGTTTGGATATAGCCCCACCTTGCTGCTGCTCTGTCATAATACACCAGTTCACTAGCCTGATACCTCATTTCCTTTCTCTTTATTGTTAATTTCATTCTGTTTAAATCACTGTAAAACACAAAGATACGGGCAGTAATTCAGAGGTATTCTAACACTAATGTTTTCATTAGTGTATAATCAGCTGAATGTTGTGAGCTGTTTTTTTGCAGGTTGCCTTACATAGAGCCGCCATGTTGAACTGCTAGTTTTCTACAGTAGCCCAGAATGGACTGGCTCCAAATAGGGCCTTTCACAGTGAAATGAAACAATACAAAGACATGCAGCATACTGACTATATTTTTATTTTTATTTAATAATGAAGCTGAAGAATCTCAATGATCTTTGCTGATGTCAAAGTATGAATTTAACATTTTTAGCCAATTGATTTCCTAAAAGAGAAAAAGAGGTGGAGAAAGAAAGGAGAGCAAGATAGAATAAAAGTCACAAACACTGTGAGAGATTGTTGATTATAAACAACCGATGGATTAACAGACACAGACATGTTATATGTACGTTCACACATTCAATATTGTGTCCTATGTGACCAGTAAATCCTTCTTACCTCAGTTAATGTTAATGCGGTTCCCCGAACCAATTGATCCCGAGTTGTTACCAACGGTCACATTATTGACGTTGCCAATGTTTGACTTGGCTGGAATTTTTCCTGTTGAAATACCAAGAATCGAAGAGATTGAAAGCAGTTAATCGTGCTCAGATATGTGCTGTGATGACCTCCAAACATGAGTAATGAATCAAAAATAAACCACAGCCGTTTGAGAAATATAACCCACCTTTCACAGTGTACTCGTTCCTTCCTCCAATGCATCCTTCGTTTGTTCCAGAAACATGAATGTTACTGATGTCTCCCAGAGAGACATTTTCTCCAATATCATCTGTACATCAGAGAGGACAGTGTGACCCCACAGAAAGTTAAAGTTTAAACACTCCAAACAGCCATTATCAGTGTGCAGAAGATAAACCTACCTTTAACATTGTACTCATTCTCAGCGCCTACCTTCCCCTCATCGCAGCTGAGGGAAATGTTCCCGTGGTTGCCAGTGTTGTTAGACGCCGGTCGTGCTGATATGTAGACAGATGAGCCTAAAAAGATGATGAAAAATGACGAAAGAAAGAACGTGCTGTTGAATCCCATGTTCACACTCTGCAGCTGTGACGCCCAGACTGTCTTATCACATCTGGGACACAGCAGCTTAATGTGTAACAAGTTAATGTAAACAAAACAAAAACATGAAGACAGAGTAGTAGACACAGACAGGAAGTTAGAACCTGACACAGGTAGTGTCTGAGATGGTTGATCTGTTTAAGGCTTTCATTAGCAGTGATCATATTTCCAGTAGCAGGCAGTAAACTATCAGTAAATTGTTGCAGTCTCATGTTCCACAGGGAACGATGAAGTTTAAGTAAGTGAGGTTGATCTGAAGAAACAGCATTGTGCTTTGTCAGGTATCCTATAATGGTGTGATCATGTCTGAAATGGATGAGGAGGACATTCTGATCGGTATTTCAAAGAGGTTTTATTGATCCAGCCTATGCCTTCATTTCCACAGAATCTAACAGTGTTTGATTAACAGAGTTACATCAGAAACTTTTCAATACCAAAACTGGTGGCAAATAAATGTTCACAGACTTGAAGAGATGATTTAAAAAAATTTATGTAGCAGCTGTGACAGCGTTACCCTGATATTGACATGTGTAGAGCTGCAAACGATTAGTGAAATAAACCATTAGTTAATTAGGTCTTAAAGTAAAAACAAAGCCATTCAAACACGTCATTTCAAAATATTAATTTTGTGTTCTTCATTTGCTTTATTATGACACACCTAAATCATACCTGGTGCAGATACTGTTGTTGCAGAGGATGCTAATATCTTGAAGAGAGATTATAAATTATATTAAAACCAAACTGCTGGTTAGTCAGTTTGCTAATAAAACCAACATCACAAATACAAGACTTCCTTTCCATAAATATATAACAATGTTTGGGTGAAGGATAAAGATTATAAGAACAGTTTCAAGGCACAGCACAGAAGTACAGAAAAAGTGGAAAGAAATTGTAAATAGTCAGCCAGAGACAGTATCATACAACATGTGGACTATATTTTCACTCGTACATTCATCTTTTGAATAAATTTTGCTTATTTCAAATCATAAATTCATCCTTTGTGAATACTTTGGTGCATTATTTCTAAAAGAGTTGCTATTTTAGAGGGCTATTTCCTAAAAGGGAGAAAGACAAAGAAACTGATTGACTGACAAGATTGATGAGAAAATTCTGATTATATTGTTTTACAATGATGCATTAACAGGAATAAATAACACACAAGGATGTCTTTTATATGTGTGTGTATATATATATATATATATATATATATATATATATATGTGTGTGTGTATATATGAAGTGTTTAAGTGTGGGTTAAAGCCTTTTTACAGTATTTTAACATTAGAAATATTATAACATATTATGCTATTTGTTTAGCAGGCGTCGAGGGCTAATGTGGGGGCCTTTGCTGTGACTTGTTTTATAAATTATAGATAAGTAATATGAATTATAAAAACCACAAAACCCCCAAGAGTTTGAGTTGTAGTTGTAGTTTGAGTTGTCTCTTAGGGCTATTATCTGTCTGTGGTGGCCAGACTCACCATTTCTCTTGAAAATGGAATTACTGTGTCTTAGTTCATTTTGTAATTATCTGAGTGGCTACGTGGTGTTTGTGTAGTGGCAGACAGCCCTGGTGTGATTCACAGTGGTCCATTATCTCTGTGACTAACTGTAAATAACCCTCGCCATAACCAGCTGTTGTTCATCCTCCCAGCCACAACAAACCAGACATGTTCCCATTAAATGGATCCTCCTGTGGCACAATGTCTTACAACTTGCCACAACCAAATGTATTTATTGTTAGAGAAAACACATTTAAAACATTCAGCACCGCTCTGCTTCAGACCATACGTCTGACTCCAGGTCGAACCCTGCATCTCATTTTCAAAGCTGCACTGAAAACTGGAAATTGTGTTTCCTCTTCACTTTAAAGTGAAGTATGCAGAAGAATGTAAAGTTGCACATTTCAAGTACAATGCTTGTATAAAGTTACATGCTTTAGTTTTGTCAAAGATGTTGTTAATTTAGAGAGAATTATCCGTGGACGTACTGCATCATTTAAGGTCTTTGTCTATTTATTATTGATGTTTGTTTAATAAAGTTAACTTTACTTACTTGTAAAGCTTTATAGTTACAGTGCCTAAAGTGCTCTGAGTCCTACTCAACCTCCTGCTGTCAACCTCAGGCAGATAGACATCTGTAGCAAATGTAACCTATTTTTGAAGCTTTAAACTTGTTGCCATAATGACACCCACAAGCCAGGTAGGCCCATAAAAACTGGGTTTATAAACTGCCGATCAGAAGACTAAGTAAGTAGGACAGAAGTTTCATGTCAAAAAGGCCGTAACAAAGAGAGAACATAAACAAAAAGCAAGAAGCTGCCTTGCCTGCGGACACAGCCAGCTAATAAAGAATAAAGAGAAAAAGCAGAGGACAGCAGTAGATAGATGATGGGAGAGGTGTACGGATAGATGGAGGAAGTATAAAGCACAGTATTGATTTTTTTGTCTCCAGTAGAGTCCGCCAGGATGCACGCTGCCCTTATATGCCTGAACACAGCAGCTCATATCAACCTCTCCTGTGTGTGTTCAAGCTCACTGTCATCCATCTATATGTCTGTTTTGCACCTAAAACAAATAAAACAAATAAAACAAATAAAACAGCTCATTTTACCATCCTGAAACATATATATGTATGTGTGTATATATATATATATATATATATATATATATATATATTTGGTGTGTGTGTGTGTGTGTGTGTGTGTGTGTGTATTCAGAGCAGTTATAATATGGACTTAATTAGCTTCTGCTACATGGCGGATTGAAAAATCCTCCATTAATCAGCACTTTCTTCTGTCTCACAGGAATCACAGGAAGTGCTCTTTTATTGATAATAGACCCAAAGAGCTGTGTGGTTTCATGGCCCGGGCTTTCCCTGTGCACTGTAGTATTATTTCATGACTCTTCAACCGGGAGAAATATATTCAGTTTGAAACTGATGATGATTTTGTGTGTGTCATGTGTTTCAGATTACTTACAATCTTTTTTTTTTCTCTTCTTTTTTCCATTTCATGTTTCACAGCTCAGATAGTCTTATTGATAATGCAATAAGGTAAGTTTTACTACTCCGTTCACTCTCCTCCTGTTACACTCACTCACACACCATAAGCAAACACAGCACATTTGGGTCTCTTAAAAACATCCAAACCAAGTTAATGTGATGCTTGTGAAGACAGCTATACAAATCTCTCTCTCTCCCTCTCCCTCTCTCTCTCTCTCTCTCTCTCTCTCTCTCTCTCTCTCTCTCTCTCTCTCTCCCTCCAGTATCGCCATGGCTACCAAAGAGAACATCACATTTCAGCGTGGGATGCTGAAGTCCATTCAAACCAGGGTCACAACTTTGGCCAGTATCCTTTTATCATTTTAATCATTTGTCTTTTCGTCCTTTACTTTCTCTCTGTTAATATGTTTCACATCTACTTCACATAAATTAGAGTTGTGTCTGTGCCAGAGTAACCACAGCACCTATGGAGATGGAGCAGGATAACGTAACCTCACTTACAGTGAAAGCTACTATGTCAGACATTAGACCTACACCATTAGGCTCCATTTGTTCTTTTTCCTGGTTGCGTTAGGAGACCTGCTGATGTATTTTCCTCTGCTGCTTTCTGTCTCTGACTCACTGCAAAGAAAGGGAAAACCCTACTTAATTATTTTCCTTCACCGTGCATCCCCACCCCTCAGATCGTTTCCCCGCCATCAACAGTCTCATCCAGAAAATCAATTTGCGCAAGAGGCGGGACTCTTTAATTCTAGGTGGAGTGATTGGCGTCTGCACCATACTCCTGTTGCTCTACACTTTCCACTGATGCGCTGGCTGTTTCTTTAAAATATTCATTGTAATTCAGAAGTATTTTTCATGGTTTTGTAATGTTCTTCCTTCTATTGTCATTTACTCTAATTAAAACAACACTTTAAAGAGTTAAGAAAGGATTTTATTTTGAAAAAAATATATATCGCAGTAAAAATAAATCTTAATTGAAAGTGAAAGGGTTAGAATTTATTTATTTTCTGGATTATTATAACATTTAAATTCTGAAATGTATATACTGTAATGCTGCTTATATCCTATCCTCGTAATTTTAACTCTTTCTAAATGTATGAAGTAATATTTGACTGGGATCGTGTACTGTTGAAGTCATACTTCTTTATATAGTATCTACGTTGCCTAATAAAAATAAAGGTGATGAGCTCGCTTTCAAGTTGGTCATGCTCATTCAAGTTTATTTCAGACATGCAGAACTATGGCACAGTAAACCAGTCATACAGTATAAATGTATAAACATCAACATCAGAGTGCCAAGAACAGTGCATACAGGGAGAATAAACCCCATTCATATCTTGCAGTATATTGTAAACGTAATGAGGTGTAGAGATCCAGGCAGTTCAGTGAAGTTTCGAACAGGAATCTGCTCAGTTTTTATCATAGTAGCACGCAAAGCAAGATATCACACTATGACTACAGTTAGGGCATTGTTGTGATAAACGTACATGAGTTTTAAACTTTTATGTAAACAGTGTATGAAATCAGTTTATACATCTTCCCACAGCCACAGAAGTCCCAACAGAACAGGAAGAGAAACAGGGCAGGCAGTGGCGGTATTACAGACTAGAGGTGCACTTCTTTTTTTTGTCTGACCACCTGTTTTTATACATTTGTCATGATGGTATTCTTCTTTAGTTTTTTTTTTTTAGGACATCTTCAGATCTAATGATTTTTATTTCATTTTTAATAAGCAAATGGTGTGCCATCCAATTATCTGAGAGTCAGGCAGTTGTGTGTACTTCAGTGCACCACTAGTTTGGACTCTGCGTAGTTTACACTTTCTCCACAGAGTGATGATCCAACACTACAACTGTGTGCAGCCTTCATTGTCCTTCCCTTTTGTTCCTGAGTTTGTGGGGTTATTGGGCACGAACATTGCCGGAAAAATGGGAACAGCCTGCGATTTCTTTCCCTTTCCATGTCCATAGCAGAAAAAAGCAAAAAAGTTGTAGGTTTGAGTCTCTTCGGCTTGTTTTCAACTCAGATTTTGTGCTTTTTCATCTTCAAAATTATTTTTTTCCCCCTCCTCTCTCTCTCTCTCTCTCTCTCTCTCTCTCTCTCTCTCTCTCTCTCTTCTGTACAATTTTGAAGTTAAAGGAGACTCCTTCCATCCCTCACTTCACTGCTGGATCTATGTGAGACAGAGAAAAAAAAGGGAAATTAAGATGAAGAAGTGTACACTGAGCCTTGTGAGTGAGTGAGGGTTTTTATGTCTTTCTCTCATACCTCTTGTGACCACTATGAAGATGATGAGAGCCACACCCAGCAGTATTGCCAGACAGCTGAGCAGCATAGACAGACGCCCATACTTCCTTGCTCCTTCAATATCTCCTGTATGGAGAACAGACCTCGACTAATGGGAAAGGAGATGATCAACAATTAATTATTTAAATACGACAGAAGCCCCAAAGCACCTGTAGTGTTTGGGGAAAAAAAACAAACCCAAAACAAGATTACAGCAGTAGAACATATCCAAAATAATAATAATAATAATAATAATCTACATTGTGTTATTATAAATACAATTAAAGCTGTAAATAATCGCAACACTCACCACATATGCGTACCACAAGGCACACATGTTGAGAGGCACGGCGGGGCAGAAACAGGACAACACGGCGAGCCAGAGGTAAGTCGGGGGTGCGGACCCGGGCGGCACAGGGGAAGGAAGCGGGCCCAGGCTGAGCCGGGACGCGGACTTGGGTGGGGTCGCCAACTGCCCGATGGACCCCGACTTAAGCGGCGATCTGTGTCCATTCTGGTCCGCGTCCAGGGACCGGACGCTCCCTCTGATGTTGAGGGAGAAGGAGTCGGACGGCTTGAGGTTGCTCTGCCCGGTGGGCTCGGTGGTGGCGGTGCTCAGCAGCTTCTCCTTATCGTGGAAGTTGGTGGGATTGGAAACTTCCCTCTCGCCGAGGGCGCTTTTCCCAAACGCAGCGTCAGTGTTGATAGCCATCTCTGAAAGATAAGAAATCTCCAAGTCTTATTCTTTGTCTGACCGAGCCGCTTCCTGTGGATAGAGATGCTGAAGAGTCCTCCTTCAGATGTTCTCCATTGGGGGTCATTAGATTAAATATTTTAAATTCAGAGATGCCTAATACCTTCAAGGCAACCTATTTAATTAAGCAGTCTATCTCCATCAAAATGTCTTATTGATGAGCGAGATGTTATTGATGTCTGAGTCCCTCTCGCGTTTAGTTGGCGGTGAGCGTCCGGACTCACGACTTGCCTCCCCCCCTCCCCCCCTTTATTATGTAGTGAGGTATTACCGCAACCCTTACATCTCCACAGCACATCCCCAGGTCTGCTTATGCACCGGGCGAGCTGGGTGACAAAGCAAAAACAACAATTAAACCTCTTCTGGAGTGAACGCGCGCAGTGCGTAAAAGCTTTCCATTTACGCACAGGGGCTTCAGCTGGATCAGCATGTAGGGCACCCACCGCACAGGGTGTGTGAGGGGGAAAGTGAGAGAGAGAGCTGAAGATGAAGGAAGGTGGACGATACAAGGCTCTCTACACATGCACGCCCTGCTGACTCAGGTCCTTCTGTAAAGTCATATTCTAGCACATTACAGCGTTTAACAGGGACGGAATCAGGAACTGAAGTTTTACAAAGTGCCCCATAAAACTTTCTACACCATCAGATCTTGGTTTTAATAAAAATTAAACAAAATTAAAGCTGCAAGCAGCATTGAGCGGGACCTCGCACTCCACGCATCTCAGGGTGTGCTGCGGCCGCGTCACGTGCCATCGTTACAGCTGTAGATAAGTTCAGGGCGGGTCTCTTGTAAAACACGTGAAGTTTCATTGAGATTGGACCACGTACGCTGAAGTTATGAAGACGTGTTCAGGGCGAGACTGTTTCAGAATATATGAAGTTTATTGGAGATTGGACATTGCACACTGAAGTTATGAGCACTATTTTATGGCGAATCTGCTGAAATGGACAAGTTGTCACTGGCACGCGGTTTAATGTACAGTCACAGCTCAAGTTTTCAATCAGTTTGTATGACGACAGAATTCAAAGTGGCCAACTTTGACCTCACGCCACAGACACGCTGTTCAACGCACAGTCTCAAATAGCACAACTTTTAATCAGCCCCATTTTGAGACTGTACTGACCAATTTTGAAGTAGATCCGATAAATTCCCGAGGAATAGTTCGTTCAAATGCAACGCGAAACGTTTGCCGAAAGTGAAAATCAAAATGGCCGACTTCCCGTGGGGTTTCGGGTATGGGTCCAAGAGGCTTTTTTTCTATGTCCCGGCATGTTACACGAGCCTACCGAGTTTCGTACATATCGGTGAAACGTGGCTCCGGGGCTGCTTTTTTTTATCCTGTAGGGGGCGCTACACACACGACAAACACATGTACCCTGTGAATTTCATACTCATAACTATTATGGTCTCCGCACAGTAATTTTTCATGCCAAAAGAGCGCCACCAAGTGGCGTATTTTTGTGTCCTTTTTAAGTGAGCCTCAGGGAGCCATGGGGAAGCATCGTACCAAGTTTCATTTTAATCACACGTGCCGTTGCAGAGATATAAACTTCTTCATTTTAAAGAGCGACACCTAGTGGCGATGATCTGAAATTGTGCGCAATGCTTATGGAAGACATGAGTAACTACGGACCCAAGTTTGGTGTCAATCGGACATACCAATGTGGAGAAATGGTCCACTTCCTTTTTTGACGAAAAATCCACAGGAAGTGTTAATTTTATAACGTGCTTATTTTTTTTTATATCAAAATTCTTTGAATTACTTTTTTATTAGAACAGTCCCCACATGCTACGTGAAAAATGACGTGCGAATCGGACAAAGCGCATGGGAGGAACACGGAAAAGTAGTTTATAAACATTTTGGCTCTAGAAAAAAAAAATTCTAGGCCAAAGTGGGCAGGGCTTACATGGGAAGATTCACCGAACGCGTGGATATGAGGTTTTTGAATGTGCGACAAACTATGCAGAAGTTATTAGCCTAAACGCATCTTTTATGATAGTAGCGCCACCTAGTGGCCAACCTGAAAGCAACGCATAGAATATTCCCATTTTCACCAGGCCTGACAACTTTGCCAAATAAAACTGAGTTTTCATATATATGTTCAGGGGGCAAAAATGCAGTCAAATGGGGCTAAAAATAATAATAGGTAAGAAGAAGAAATCGAGCAAAAACAATAGAGACCTCCAGCGGTCGCTGGCTCGGTCCCTAATAACAGTACAATTCAACCAGCTACTGTGTCCTGTATATGATGTAGATGAACGCATCAGTAATAATAATGGATACTTCTTTTATGATAATACTTAAATTATATCTGAATACTATTCCAGCACCGCCCATCAGAGATACTTTTACATGTCCAGGCATCGCTTATTAACTTAAATGTTAATCTACATAATAACTATTTTGAACAATTTGTGATCTGGTCCATGACAATTTGTTTCATGATTGTTGCACAGTGTCCAGGATTATCAAACGATCTGTTAGTGGCGGGAACAGTGAGAATACACACTCTCAAGGTTTCTCCCTTCACACACTACAGATTTAATACCATGTTCATCCACATTCAGTCTGATTGTATTTCCCTCAACATCCTCTGTGATTCCCTCAGCCATGTTAACCTTAGAGATTATTACGCCATCTAGTGGTGATTATGAGGAAATTGCACCAAGACCCGGAAGTTGTAGGTTTAGAAGTGCAGCAACTCTCAGTTTTGCTTCCCAAACTCACAGATATCTGTCCTTGTAATTTCCTCATAATCCATGCAAACAAGTATTCATTATATAATCTTTTCGTTTTTCAAGTAGATTTTGTTTAGTGGTTCCACCAACAAAGCTCAATCAGATCTGTAAAGTAAAATATTGTGTAAATCTGATTTATACTGATTTTGACTTCTAAAAATTACATTTAATTTGAGAAATATGATGATTGGACTGCTTTATAAAATGATTTAAGAACCTTACATCTTCCACTTATTAAACCAATTCAGCTTACAGTAATAGAGTAATATTATAACCTGCTGCTGAAGCCAAAAATAGATCTTGCTCTGTTATAAACATTATTGTACATTCAGTAAGTTATCACAATACTTGGCCTCAGTTTGATAATGTTGCGACTGCACCGGTGAACGTGCCTGTGAACTGGGGTTTCACATTTTATATGTAACAACAATCTAACTGGATTCATACAGTCCTGACTAAATGTCAGACTAGTGACTTGTTTTCTTTTAAATATTTTGGGGGCTTTTTATTGCCTTTTTAATTGATAGCTGTAGAGTGACAGGAAAGGGGGAGAGAGAGGGAATGACTCACAGTAAAGGGCCACAGGTCAGAGTTCATGGTGCCCCCCTGGTATGTGGGTCTCCGGCTCTACCTGGTGAGCTAACCGGGTTCCTCAGCTGGTTGACTTGTTAATGTGGTGTTAGCCCACTAAAGAACAAAGACTATTAACTAAGTTTTTCCCTATCTGATGACATTTGACAATTTAAAGAGTATTTTAATTTATTCTGCTCTTCCATGTTCGCCTTTACTCAAAGACTCAAAAAGTGTGTGTGTGTGTGTGTGTGTGTGTGTGTGTGTGTGTGTGTGTGTGTGTGTGTGTGTGTGTGTGTGTGTGTGTGTGTGTGTGTGTGTGTGTGTGTGTGTATTTTTGGACAAGAAAGCCTTTGTTGCTTGTATGTGTTTTATTGTCCATAGTGTGCAGTTTTGTAGACAACAATAAACCTTAAGTCTGAGAAAATATTTTGTTTATTGTAAGAAAACACATTACAGACAAAATCTGAGCAGATTCTTGCAGGAAAAAGACAACATGTGTGCCCGCAAACTAAACATTTTGTACTGACTAAAGTTAAATATACCTTACATATGATTAACACGGGAATATAAACAATGGTGGCTCAAATCTGGCAGGTTATTAAAGTCCAGTCTGTCTACTGAGTGTGTGAAACACCGCCTTCCTCTGTCCTCTTCCCATCAACCCCCCCCCCATCCGCTTCCTCTTCTTGAGTCATCCGGGGCAGGGCTGACCAGAGCAGTTCTTCAGCTGGCAGCTTTAGCATGTGTACAGGAACATAAAGCTTGCCAGTGAAGAACTGCTGTGTGTCAGCCATTCAGGGCCAAGGGTTGAGGGAGTGCTGGGAGTCAGCCAGCGAGCGTGAGAGTTCGAACCAGACAAGCCTGGAGTGATGGACGACCCGCTTTAAGGCACAAATGGAGACTCCTTCTCCTTTGTTCATCTGCTTTTAGGTGCACATATTCCTGCAGAAAGAAAAGAAGAGATCATTTAACTTCCCCTCTAAACTCCCTGCTCCAGTAGCGTGGGTATGAGCTGGCTTGCGGCCAGTCACACACGTACAGTAAGTGGGTGCAGTTGAGCCACAGTGTGTGTGTGTGTGCGATCAGCTGTGAGTAAGTGGGTGAAATGAGCTGATATGCAAGAATGACTGGGAAGATGCACACAAGATCATGCGTCAGATAACCAGGAGGGATACATGCATCAGCAGCTCCACTCTGCCTCTGCACGTTAAACTGTGCCAGCAACAAATTCTTAGATATTCTTTTTAGTTATGATGCACAAAAATCACACACTGGCCTCTGGAAGAAAAAAAAAAACAAAACACTTTTTTTTGTCAGTTACCGTGGTTACAAAGCATGAGTGAGAGGCGATGAAGAGGAGTAGACAGCCTCTACGCGAAAGCAGAGATCTTGGAGTCCTTTCAGAAGTCTTGTCTTAATTAATAAAGTGAATGTTTAGGTGTTTTCCAGAGAGAAAACGTGTAGCTACACCTGACCTCTGTTTTCTACATGTTGCAGAGGGTGTAGTGCTTTCAAAACCCACTTTTTTATGAGTCTAAATTGTAAGATTACATGTAAAAAAGAAGAATAGCTGCTAGTAGAAAAAGAGTAGCTAGCTTAAAATAGCAGCTTAATCTGGAGTTTGGATTGTGTTCAGTAGTTCTGTAAATGCTTCAGGCATCAGACAGATTTTCACATTAGCTGAAATTAAAACAGGGTCATTTCAATGTTCCCAGGGTCCTTTGTTCCCCAGTTTTAGGGTTAGGGTAAGAGGTTTGAATCCAGATATGCTCCCATTAAACTGGCATGATCACATAGATGAAATGATTTTATGACCTAATACTTAAAAAAAAAAAATCCTGATCCCATCATTCCCATCAGCCTGAGCTGCGTGCTGTACCAATTAGCATTTAGATCCGAGCACTGTTGTGCCTAAATATACCCTCGCAGAGCTGATAGCATTTATGCACACTCTTAATCTTTACTTTTTTTTATTATTATTATTATTATTATTATTTTGGGATTCTGTCATACGAGTAAAAACTGAATTTCAACACTTAGCTTGTTAAAATAAATCCAACATGCACAGTTGAGGTTAAACATACTGAAAGTTTAAAAAAAAAAAAAAAACTGACCACTTTAAGACCGACGAAGCTAAAGCATGTCTGTGCTTTTCTTGCCTTCAAAGAATGTAATCTTGTGGTGATCTTGAGATATTGAGGACATGCTCCACTTCTCTGGTTGACGATGAGTAACACATGCTGTACATTCCTGCAGTAAGGAGAACCAGAATAATCTCAGGTATTTGAGTGTCCTGTAGCCCCGTAGACCGAGGACACATCAGGGGGGTTCAGATCACAATTACCAGGAACTTTTACAGACACCGCTGCGGGGAGAAATCATTTAGTCTCACACTTACTTTGGCTTTTACTTTAGCGTGAGTGGACCAGAGAGTCATTCCCATGTGATCAATACGGAAAACAAACAGGTTGTACATGGGAAAGAACACTAATAAGATTTTCTTCCACCTACCTACAAAATAACTTAATAATTATTTGGGTGAGTCAGCCTGCAGAGGCCTTGACTGCCTGTTCTGACTTGTGGCTGCTTTTTGCTTTTCTTTTTTAAAACCACTAAAAGAAATGTGTCAGCGTGCCAGATTTACATTTGTCTCGTAAATCTCCTAAAATCAAGTTGTATGTTTTTTGTAAATTAGTGAGTCGTGTAACTGTGTACTGGGATCCAAAATGGCGGCCATTCATTCTAGTAAAAGTTGCTGTTATGTGCCTGTTGCTCTACCTTTTCTTCCAGGAGTCTGCAGTCAGAGCTGAGGCGTGTCAGATGAATGTGGTTGTTCCTCTGCCAGGCCTATTTAAACCAGCCCTGCTCTCAGTATCCATCTTACATAACTGCTGCTTTACGCCACTGATGCAGCTCACCTCCACGCCCAACGCTTATCTTTCTGTTAATAGTTACGTTTGTTTATTTAAAAGGAAACATTCACTCACTCACCTAGTGCTTATGGCAGAAATAAGCTTTCTCTCTCTCCTTCTGGAATAGCTTCCATGTTGTGTAGCTCACTGCATATGAGTTTTAATAGGTGTAGTACTGGTTACTAGCCACTGGGAAACAAAACTAAAGCAGTTTCACTTGTACTTCCACTTCCCCTCAGCCCTCGGTATTACGTAACAGCGTACACTGCAGGGAGCAGAGGGATCGTGTGAGGGGGGTTTAAATGAAATGCACTTGTCCTCGTAGTAAGTGGTCACGATGGATTGTAAGGCTACTTCTTTCAATGGGGCGGTGGTTACCTTCGCATTACGTCTGCATTTGGTGAACCTAGTGGAGGAGCTCCAGCTCTCCTTCTGACCCTTTAACGCCATACAACTTAAACAATCACTACTGTGTGACCTACTAACAAAATGTGAAATGATGTGCAAAACAGCATAAGTCAGTAACGTGTGCAGTTCTAAATGCAAATAATTTGGAACTGTAACCTCCTAGTGACGTAATCAAGCAAACTCCATGACGAGAACTGAATTTCGACATGATCATTCTGATTATCTGGATATTTTTAAGCCTCCTTATGGATTGTTTGCTCAGACATTGTTGGTTTGATCCACAAACATCTGTTTTAAATAATGACACAGAGAAACAGCGATGCCCAGTGGCTGATGTGCAGCGCTGAGTGACCGTCGTTGTAAAATCGCTCCCTCAGCCCTTGAAGGGTCGATCTCCCAAAGTTACCTTGAGTTTTCCAGAGAAATGGAATGATGTCTCGTCATGGCAACGGGAATTTCCCCCGAGGGCAAATGCCGATGGGAAGTCAACGAGGGCACGTTGGACTAATGAAACGCAGCTTAAGAGTCTACACCATGCTTCTGCCTCTGTGACGCTGTGCTGGAGCTAAACGTTAATGTCATAATGACAGTGCTAATGCTAGGTACAATGTTCACTATGTTCACCATCTTAGTTCAGTGTGGTAGCATGCTAACACTTGCTAAATAGCACTAAACACAAAGTAAAGCTGAGGCTGCTGGGAATTACATTAGTTTTGTAGGTATTTGGTCATCTGATGATGCTAGACGAGAAGTTAAGAGGTCGTCAAAGTTATTACAGTTCAGTCTGAGGGGGACATGAGTGTCTGTTCGATATTCCATATTACAAAGTGGTGGACTGACAGAACCATCCAAAGAGAGACGCCACTAGCAGAAAGATTGAGCATCAGGTCTTGAAATCAGTGAATCTTTTAGCAACAGAAGACCATGATTCGTCACATCGGGATCATGAAGTGAACCACCCCCCCCATAGGCCTGCACATGCACTCAGTGCACGGCAGTGTTAGTCTGAATGAAGTCAGAGAGGAGGACGTACTGTACAAGTCCTCAGGCCATCACACAGTACCACTGACCGCCATAATGGTTGACTATTGCTGCCACAGCCTCAAACTGACACTGAATTAGCTATTTGTTCCACAGGGTGTCAGTCCCTCTACAAACAGTGACTCTGTATCTTTATGTTCACAATGACGGGCAGTGTTGAAGCCCTCGACTTTTTTGCTGTGCCACTCTTTCCCATATCGCCTCTTTTTTTTTTGTCTTTCCTGACTCGTCTGTCCTCTCCACCCTCTTTCTCGGTCAGATCAGACTGTCCTGCATTCCTGACATTCCAGCTGCGTATGTTAGAAATTCCGTCCAGCTGCTGTGGGCTCGCAGTCTCTCCTTCTTTTCCATCCCTCTATCATTCACCCATCTCCTCTGTATCTACTCGTCTCTGTCTGGTCTGCAGCAGACGAGGCGGACGTGGCTTCATTGCCAGGGTCGCCCTCACCTCCATTCTGCATTTTCCTTTTTTTTCCCTCCTCTTCTTCTTCTTCTTCTTCTTATGTACCTCATACCTCCTCCCCCCCTTCTCCTTCTTTTGGTCTTGGCCTTATCCGAGCGACGAGACAGACAGAGCCACATGACAGCCAGTGTGGAAGGCCTTGAGACAGGCTTTTATACATGGAGCAACAGTGTAAAAAAAGATAACACGCAGTCTAATACACAAAAGACTGAGCTTATCTGGGACTGTGGACGTGTGTTCTGCGCCACGGCAGGGAGGATAAGAAAGAGGAAAGACACACTGGAGTTGAACAGGCAGGATGTGCGTGTCAGAGAGAAATAGGAATGACGATGTGTAAATAGAAGGGTGTGATTGAACCACGTTCAATGCAAAGAGAAATTATTGACCTTTTAACTCTTTAGGAGGTTGTCTTATCGAGCTTTTACTGCAAGAGCTTGAATTTATGTATCAGTGGAGCTTGGAAATTATGAAAAAAAAGCTAAATAATAAAAGAGGAATGAGATTTGAGCAGGTAGAAACGCCACACTTCTAATGAAGATCGAGAACGGAAAACAAAAAATGACGTATGATGGCAGGGCAGACCTCTTTCCATTGCTATATGCCTTCCCATTTGACCTTTTCATGTTTAGGGTCGCGCTATTGTGTGACGAGATAAGATACCTCAGTCGTCTGTCTGCACGTCGGCAATAAAACTAAAGATATATGTGAAGAAATGCAGAGTTATCACATGAAATAGCCGACTTTTGCACGTTGCTGCGACAGCTCTGCGAATGGAAACACACGATAATTAAATGTTACATTACATACATGCATTCAGGTGCATTCCTCTTGCTGTGGGAGAGTGTTTACTGCCCCAGATTGCAAGTCTGTAATATAGACTGATCATTTTAGACTGGGAATGGGGACAAAGACAGGGAAAGGGCGGTGGCTTTGGCAACACACTGATCATAGTGCAGAGAGCCTTGTCTTATGCTCTGCTGCTGGCTGGTTTGCTGGACTTTTAAAGGCTATCTGACTTTAACCCTGAGATCCCTGCAAATAAAAAAGGAGTTCAGGTTGTTGCACTCGCTCAGGAGGAATAGCTGAATGCCATTCTGAATTCATGATATCCTGGGAGATGGTAACGTGCTGCATGAGGCCTGTAAGCCTGTCCTCGGGCAGTCTGTGCCATTTAGTTTGAAAAGAACTGGATTTCTTTTTTTTTTCTTTTTCTAAATGAACCTACACAACACATCCCTTCTTGCCCCATCCTCCCTTGACAAGGCACGCAATAGGAATGAAGGGTGTAACCCAAGTTGAGCAAGATGGCTTCACTTCTGCAAATGTAGTCAATAAAACGGCACAGGGAGAGGTTGCTCCCTTTTTTTTTTGGGCCGGATGCAGGGCAAACCACACATGTAGATGAGATGAGTTGCTTTTTAAACTGACACCCCGTCATTGCCATGTGATCCTCATTGACAGGGTGGCTTATGTCACGCTCCCGGGTTGCAATGGCACAAATGCAGCTCGTGACACAGCCTATTGCGCATTCCTACCGGCGCACTGAACTCTGGCTGTACAATTATGTAAGACAGGCTCCATAACCGCTCATCCCAGGGAGGGACTTACTTATACATCTTTAAAAATGTGTTACATTGGTGTAAAAGACTGTAAAGATAGAGCAATATATGTGAGTTGAGGAGACTCGAGAGGCCCAAAGCTTGGACTGAGTCCTAAATATTTTGTTACGTCTCTGCTTTAAGAATGTCTCACTGGTCCTCACAAACATCTACAGTAATATACTCGTGTTTATAAACTTATCTTTCATTTGAAGAAACATCTGCCAGACGACTGCCGGTGTCACCGCATTTCTGAGGAGTGATTCGGCCCCAGTTATCTTCCTGATTTTAACCTATCCCCTACTTGAGCACAGGCTTTTTCCTTGGCCTATTATGAACTCAGCAGTTTTTTTTTTAGGGGGGGGTGTTATGAGTGCTGACACTTTCTGACAAGTTTGGATTATATAAATGTAGACATCAACTACAGCTTAGAAATCCAACATTTGACCGTTAAGTGCTTACAAAGGAGTAAATTAATTATCTAGAGGCCCCAGGTTTAAGTTTCATGGTTTCCTAAATGTAGCAGTCATGACACAATAATAGGTTTATAAAACAAATCTGTAAATCGTTTAGCACTGATAAAGCACTGTCTGTGTGCCATTGCTGGCTTTTATGTTAATTTAGACATAATTCTTACTTTTTTTTAGCACATTTCAAGCAGCCCTTTAGCTGCCACCAGCCTTTGTAAAATAACAGCATGTGCAAATACTCCATGTAGCACTTTTAGCAAAACCCCCTGCCCACACTTTCACTGTATCAATCATATAAATGTTGATTAAATGATTGCAGGAGCTGGGAGGTTGTGATCAAAATCTCTAGGGGTGCCCATAATTCATATCAGCTCCTCCTGTGTCAGTGGGCCCGGACGATATGATCTAAATGACACACCGACAGGCCTTCAGCCAGAACTCCTATAACACCAAATCTATATCCTCGAAGAATCTGACGACGCCAAATTGTGCAGAAACCCCATAAAATAGACCCGCCAGAGGTACATTTCACTGGAATAAAGTCGTGTTAAAGGACGGTTTCCCCCAGGTTGCCGTTTCCACGCAAACTGGGTCATCAAGCCGCCACAGGCTAAATCAGGCTGACAGGAACAAGCATTTTAGCCAGCAGAAATACACACACACACACACAGACAGACAGCCTCACAGCCAGTAATACGCCCCACCTTGACCACCGGCCGGGTCGCTCCTGCGCGGCCAGCACATCTGAACGGTCCGGCGGAGTTCAGGCTGCCTCGCCCACCGCTCTCTCTCTCGCTCTCTCTCTCTCTCTCGGAGTCCTGGACCTTCAGCAGGGTGTGTCGATGTCTGTTTTTTTGTTTGTTTTACATCCACGATATAAAACGGTGTGGCAGCGTTTATGTATCTGGTCGGAGAGTCTACTTTTTCAGCGAGGAAGCGGCAGCAGCAGCAGCAGGAGCAGCAGGAGGAGGAGGAGGAGGAGGAGGACGCAGCGCAGGACTTCAGCCCCTTTTACACAACTCCTGCCCCAGTCCTCTCTCTCTCTCTCTCTCTCTCTCTCTCTCTCTCTCTCTCTCTCTCTCTCTCTCTCTCTCTCTCTCACACAAACCCAAGTCAGACACACACCCGGCTTCCCACTCCGATCAGCTGGCAGCGTGATGACGTCGCGGCCATGAAAGACGTACGTCAGAACTGCACAGATCTGACGTCCTCACGCAAGTTTACAAGCCTGAGAAAAAAACTTTTCATTAATGCCAGCTCACTGTTTTATTTGCGTCTGCATTTTATATTATTGTTTTATTTTTGTATTATTTATTAACTGTCCTGAAATGTTTTAATCCTGGTTCAACCATATAAAGGGCTTTGTAACTTTGTATTGAAAAGTGCTGTAACGTATATTATTATTATTATATATTAAATTAGTTTATGAGACATGACCATAGGATAGTGAAGTTTTGAAAAGTTAAGCATCACAAACACAAAATAAAAAGTATGAACAGGTTTTATTATAAATCTGTTGTATTTTTCTTTTTTTAAAGCTGTACTTTATTTATTGTGATGAGCGTTACATTGTCCAGAAGTAGTAACAGAAAGAAGACAGAAATAAGATGACCAAACATGAAATGAAAAAGACTGAACACACACACACACACACACACACACACACACACACACACACACACAATTAATTTGATGTACAGTTGCATGACACCCACATATTTTCTACATTTAAGAAAAATGTTGTGTGTTTCACTATTAGAGAAGTGGTTGTCGGGTTCCTCAGCAGCTCCATCCAGGCTTCCTCTTCTTTAATGAGATTTTCTGACTTCTGCAACAATCAAACCATGATGGTGAACATTAATTGTAAATCTAAAGATCTCAAATGAAAATGAAATGTTACATTCTTAACCAATAAAACACAATCTCGCTCATTTTGGTACTCAGACGTTTGCTGCTACAGCCTTATTTGGTCTAGTATGACAGTAGCTTATAGTGTTAGCTAATGCTGCTGGCACACAATATTTAACATGTTACAGATAAACATTTAAATCATAATATCATAAAAATAGATTATTGACATGTTTTGCACAAGCAAGAGTAATAAGGTCAAACTAATTCAGGTAATAACTTTTAAATGGTAATAACTCTCTAAAGTGTTGTAACATTTGACCCTGTTAGCTCATCATACTCGACTGAGTAAGATATCTGCGTGTAATTCACTGAGCAATGGTGGGTATTATTGCTCATGAATTGAACATTTTATTTTGCATGAAAATGTTATTTATTATTTTGAGAAGATTCATGACTTTGCTAAGTCTGAACCTGCAACTAACTGCACAAAGTCGTGCTGTGTTAAAAACACCACAGGAGTCTGCAAATGGCTTCCCAAGACATCAGCAGGTCAACATTAACTGGTTATTCTCTCAACACTGCACCGACTGCAAGGCCAGTCTCTCTTTTTTTCTTCCTCTCGGTCTCTCTCTTGCCTGTGAACCTGCGCTTGTCACTCTGCAGCTTTAAGGAGTTTGAGAAGCTGCTTCATCACTGTCACCTGACACAGTGAGCACACAAATCATCACGAGACCAAACCCCTGCTGTCTCATTCTCGTGTCTTCTTCTTCTGCCTGTTGTATGACAACTTTTTAACAGAATATATGAGCAAAAAGGTAGATTTACTGTCCTCAGATTTACAATAATCATTATTATAAACCACCAGTCTTTGTACATTCCTGAATTCTTTGTGAATTGTGGCACTTCCCACGAGACTTCCTTCAGTGACCTCTATACCACACAAGTATGATGGTGTTTCTGTGGAAATGTTTATCACTCCAGTTGCTCATTGCTAGCTGGTAACCTGTAACCTTCACTGCCCACTGATTCAGGCACAATGTCCTTTTTTAGGCATTTGTGGAGGTGGAAGTCATTATGAATCAGTGATCATCATTATGACACTAATAGGCCACATTATTTAGGTTTTGTCTAGAAAATAAAGACAGTTCATCATATCACTCACAGTGTATTGCCTCTAACGTCCACTGAACTTTGTTCACACAGTCTGTTGTGAACATATTTGGTGGTTGGTTGGTTTCGGTTTATGTTTATGTCAAAATGTTTATATTGAAAATGATTATAACATTTACTCATGTCAGGCACTAATTCAACCTGCCTGTTACTCAACATATTTAACACAGAATAACCGGCTTCACCATGTAAGATAATCTAATTGCTCTCTGAAGACTGCATGAACTAGCTGCTATACATATCTGGAGTCCCTGGAGGTAAACCAGTAAGGTTAAACCTTCTGTAAAAGGCTTCTGTAAAACATTCACCATGATTAGATTGAAATGTAAAGGGCTTTTATGTACAAGTCCCCCTCCAAATAAAATCCTAATCTCGTGTGTTTGCGAAAGCTGTTGTTGAAAACAGTCTTCCAAGCAGATGCCAGCGCACTTACTGAAACTCGAGATGTGTTTGTATAATGTCGGCACCAAATGGAGAAAGCGTGCGAGTCACATCTTCCCCCACCACCAGCTCATCAGAACAAGACGTGAACAGGGGCATGGTTCATGACACATAAAATCACAACCAATCACATGACTTAGCAGAGTGTGGCTCAAAGGTTGTGTGAAAATCTGCTTTGTGTTGTCCATAAATGATCAAATTTGCTATTAGAAACATGTGAAATTAGTGTTTGTGGTGTCCTAATAGTCACTTTTAAGAAGACAGCCTTTAGAAAAAAGCTCGCATCTCACTGTGAACTCTGTCACTCCTGCGTGGATTAATGTTACGTGTCACCTGTGACTCAGCATCCACTTTTATCCTCTTTCTTCCTTCCTGTAGTTACTTACTGGACGAGCTCAGATCTGTGTGTGTGTGTGTGTGGGGGGGGGGGGGATGCAGAAGCAGGACAGACTTGTTTGAGCTCTGAGAGTGAGCCTATTCTTAGCACTGGTGGGTGTAACGTTTAATAGCAGACAGAACTCAGCATCCATGTTTAGTCATTTATTAGACGGTTACAGTGTGTGTAATACTTTACAAAGGATTGTGCTTCAAAGGTTCAAATTCATAAGTGTTTAATAAATTCAGCATGTGTGTGTTGGTTTCTGATGCATGTGATGTGTGTGCAGTAATGAGGAAGCAGTTTGTGGGGGGGAGGACTGGATTCTGTGGGACGGGAATAGGATGGAAACTCCCTGGGAAATACCACACTGCGTGCTGTGGATGTTGTCAGAGGCGACATATGAAATCCCCATGCAGCGATTTAAAAGGACACATTTTCTGTGTTTCATTTTCATTTCATCAAATCAGTTCAGTTTCTTTTGATGCAGACTTAATTAAAAATACAAATAATACTTCTGTTGCCAGATATTAAACAGCACTAGTTTTTAAAATGAGGATGGTATGTTTATCTTAAAATTGCCTTTAAAGCTGCTATAATCAATATTTTCATATTAACAATGGATCACATGACTACTGGTATGTGAAAGAGAGAATTATTACCTGGCTCTATAGCAACTTTCAGGTCATTATTTTGGTTTTTAGGCCCCAAAACTTCACTCTTTTGGTTCATCCGTAGCTAAAACTCCACTGTACGCTACCTGCTCGGCACCAAACATCAGACAGACAAAGTTAGCAACTAGCTGGTGAACATAGTGGAACATTTAGCAGCTAAAGAGCCTGATGTTTCCCTCAGGAGGAGCTGGTGGAGACCAAAACAGAGATAAAAGGAGATCCAGCAAGCAGCCAAAGACTCAGTTTTTGTATATTCGAATGAGGTTTAAAGTGAGAATACAGAACTTAACTAAACAGCTGCCATTATGGAAACATATAATGTGACAGTAGCACACTGGAGAGGAGTCTTAAAGTCTGTAAACTGACTCAAAGTTAACTAACATTAGCCGCCATAGTCTACCGGTCATAACAGACCAAGTACGCCTGAATCTGCAAAACCTACTGAAATGAGGTCGTGAATTTTATTGCTTGATACAAAAATAAAATGTATTTATATTATAATCTAGTCTCTTCTTTATTATTGTGTCTCCAGCTCAAAGCCAGCTCTGTGCAGTTCATGCAAAGAACTCATCAATGACTGAATGACCACTGCCCATATTTATCCAAGGGCTTAAAATAGTTTGGACCACAGGTCTCACACTGCTCTGGTTTCATCTAATGATGCTGTGTGCTCACTTGTACCGAGGTTTGATTTCACTGTGATGACAGGAAGCATATAGTTGAAATTTTCTGTTTGCATTAATCAGATTCATTTTATGTCAACCAGAGGGCTTCATTATGTGTGTGTGTGTGTGTGTGTGTGTGTGTGTGTGTGTGTGTGTGGAACTGTCCTAGAAGCAGATGAACTGAAGATCACTTATTATTCAGCCCTAAATGCTGACCTTTTATCACATATAATTATATATTTATGTAAAATAATAGGCTTTACAGTTGTAAAGAGAAGGACGAAGGGTAAGAAGATGGGGAATTGATATCCAGGTGTTATAGACTTCAAATTATAATAGTAATATAATTCATAGCCTAATGAGTAATAACAGGATTGCATTATAATAAGGCCTATGTAAAAATAGCAGCAATAAAGATGAGGTGCTGCAACTCAGTGAAGCAGTTGTAAAAGTATATAAAAAAATACTTCCTTATTATGTTAATGCAGTCACTGTAATTTGAGTAATGCTATATGTTAATATATATTCAAATATAGCCACTATGACGTCATATATACGTCAAGTAACAATTTCCCGTACGGTGCTCACAGACCTCGTGGCGCAACGGTAGCGCGTCTGACTCCAGATCAGAAGGTTGCGTGTTCAAATCACGTCGGGGTCAAACCTTTGCTTTGGCCAGGAAGGTTCATGCTTATTCATTGATTTGTATTTGATGTTGTTGTTGCTGTAACTATCCTTGAATAAGCTAATCGATCAACCTCATCATATTCTCTCGTAAAGGTGCCAAAATAGATACATACTTAGCTTTCTTAGTCTGTAAACACTTTTAAATGTCTAGTGTACTATATATAGTGTATTCATAGCCATACTAACGTTACTGTCTATAGGCCTAATGTAAATATCGTACTAACGTTACTTAAAATGCTAAACTGCATTTTGTCGTAGTCTAAGTTACTACTGAGTTGACTGGGCTGGGCTCAGTTTACCCGAACAAATACAGTTTAAGCTAAAAAAATAAAAAAAATAAAAATACTTTACAAAAATGCAGATGAAACGTTTTTTAGGTGTCGAAATGTTTCGACAAACAAAACATTTCCGTACAGCGGCAGTTAAAAGTGTGTGCTGTTGCCATGGAGACGCGTAGCTGGGCAACGGGCGGCGGCGGCGAAAGCGTGATTGTGGAAATGAGTGTCCCGGAACAAAAACAAAACATCAGAGATAGCATTGAGCAGCATTTATCCACCACTTTTCTCGTCTCTCTGTGGAATAAAACATGTAAACAATCGGGCACAACCGTCTCCAGACTTTGTGCTCGCCAATAAAGACAAACATCATGACCGAGGACGAAAACTGTAAGCCGCCCCAGTCACCCAGGAGCTCTACCAAGAAGAAGAAGAAGAAGAAGAAAAGAAAGAAAGCCACTGTTTCCATCACTTCTGCAGAAAATACAGGTAAATAATTATCAGTACAATGCATTCATAGTTTTAAAAGTCAAAGCGTTAACTGTGTGGGGAAACGTCCACAGCCATTTACATTATATAACAGCTTTAATTATCACTGATGCATTCATGTGTAAGCAGCATGTTAGTGTGGAAGTTAGTTGAGGTGGAGTTCATTTTAACTACTTTATTCACTGTTGAGCTGCACCTGTAACAATGCATCATCTTTTATAAACTCATCACTAATCACTTAAACCGAGAACTATAAAAAAAAAAAAAACATTAAGTGCCTCTGAAATGTAGTGAAGCAGAAGGTTAAAGCAGCATAAAATGGAAACACTCAAGTAAAGTACCTTAAAACTGTACTTTAGCACAGTGTTTGAATAAGATACAGTTAACATTTCACCACTGATCTCATAACTCAAGTCATTTATCAAGCACAAATCTGGTTCAGCCTTCTAAAATAAGAGGATCTGCTCTGAATATTATATATTTATACTTACTCAATACTCAAGATATAATAGACTTAAAAGTAATTAAAATAATCATTAGTTACTGTCCTAAATTACTCTTCTTTTAAGTATTTTCATTCCTATCTTCAGGCAAATCTTGCCATTTCTATCCCTAGGACAACAGTTAGTGTTACAACTCATAAATAAGATGAAACCATGTCTAAACCAATCAATAAAATCAATAAAGTAGGGCATCAACAATAATCAGCGACCAAAATGGGGTTAATTCTTCTAAATGAGTGGTTTTACTTTGCTTTTAGCCTACAAAAGTACATTTTAATGGTCTCTAAAGGAACAAAACATTGAATGCAGGAATATTATGTTTGATGAAGTATTTGTACTTTGTTTTTTGTAGTAAATTATGCAGTACAGTAAAACAAGTAGAGATGCATATAACTTCCATCATGGTAATTTTTCATTGTGGGACATTTTATGGCTTTATTAGTGAGTTGACAGACAGATGGGGAACGACATGAAGGGACAGATCTAGAGAAATAACCATGAGGTGGCAGAAATATATGCTGATTTAATCACTAACATATATCAAATGAGGACATTACATTATATACATTATTATGGTACGTTAGTGAAGCATTGAATAGAAATATCTCATCATCGTTATCGTCATTAAGGTATAAAAGAGCATATTGATCGGTTTATGTAACGTCCAATACAAACACACTTAAAGCTCTAAATTCAGTTTAAAAAAAAAAAATGTTTTACATGTTTTGACAAACCAGATTGGAATCTGTAAAAATGAAATCCTCATGCATTCCCCTCGCAAAAATGCAGGACTGAAGAATAGATTTGAGACTCGGGGCTTTGTTACAGTAAAGGAAATTAAATTATTGTGCCACATTTTTTATTAAAAGCAGATCCTCTAGAATTCCTGATGGAGTGAGCGTTGCCAACAAACACAGAAAGTCTTCTCATATAAACTGTCACATAATGAAAAGCCTGAAAGCCCCAAAAAATCTCCCTCACAACATTCATTTATACTTAGTCATGCTGCAGTTGTTGAAGGATTTGCAAAAAACAATCATTTGAATCATGTATCATCGCTCTGGCAGTTCAAACTAAAGTCACTGTCAATGCACACAATGTAAACACCAGTATGATGATGGTGTGGTGATGGTGGAGGATCCCCTGCAGGGTTGAATAGGTCATTAGAGAATAGGCCTTCAGTGTCACTTCCCATCATTGGCCTATTACAGCTCATTACTGTAAAACCAAGCCATTAGCCCTCCAACTCCAGAGGGAGTCATTAGTAATCCAAACCCTCAGCTTTGTTTGCCAGTGTGCATGTTCCTACATGTTTATGTTGCCTCCCTACAGAGAAACCTCATGCTGTATCTTTGCCTCCTGAGACCTTGCTGGTGTCTCTGCTGTACCCACAGAGTCCGGCCCAGCCTCAAGGCCAGCTGCCCAAGCTCAGAGCAACCAGTAAGGACAGAGAGCGGCTCGTCGGCAGTGGCCAGAGCAGCAAAAAACACCCCAAGGACTCACCATCCCTGCTGACAGAGACAAACAATAACAGTGGCAGTGGATCTCCGGAGCAGGGGTACGCAGCAGAGCTCAGCACCCAGGCCAGGGAGAGCCTGAGGTGGGAGGGAGTGCTGGAGGACCCCCAGGCTGAGGAGAAGAGGCTGGAGCTGTACAAGGCCAACCGACGGCAGCGTTACATCTCACACAGAGAGGCTGTGGTAAAAGAAACCCAGAAAGACTGACCGACGGGAGCAAAGACTGACTCAAAGAATCAAAAGAGAAGCTGTATGCTGTTAGTCATCTCAGGATTTATTTGTTCACAGTTTAAAACAGATTTAGCCAAATGTGAGACACAGAGTGAAGATGTTTGGGCATTGTTAAGAAGTTAAGAAGAGGATTCAATACCCTGATACAAAGGCTTTTTCTGTGAGGTACAAAATACGAATCCACAACGCCGCAACTCTCAATGGACGAGGACGGGTCGTCCGCCTGCTGAATGGGGGTCTGTTAAAAACTTAACCTGCTTCTAAATTATGTAACACGTCTAGAAAAGACTCAAAGTCAATCTTTGAGGACTGAAACCCGATCAGGATAATACCACCCCCTCACATCTGTGTGTCCACAGGTCAGAGAGGCAGAGGAGGGTTAAATGGATGGGGGTGAGGGTCACATGACATTTCTTTTCCACCACTATATTGTAAGAACTTTAAATATACGTTGTTGGTGTTTTTGTGGAGTTGAATGCGCTCCTATGCTGTCACACTATCAAATAAAATGTGTTACTTTTAAGCATTTTGGCTGATTTAATGCTAATTAAAGTCCCGATAAAGTCCTATTTCTTGTCTCTCTTTAATGGTTAACTATAAAAAGAGATCTTCAAAAACACTAAAATCTTATATTCTCATAGGTTGCAAAACAATATTTTCAGTGTAAAGATTTAATTCTGTTGCCATGATGTTGATGTAAGTTTGTTTCCTTACACATAAGGAGTTTGACTGTTGCTTCTTGTATCCTGGCAAGCTACTGAGTCACTGCTGCCGTTGTGCCATGTAATTATAAAACTGGATATAAACAAAGAGGGACACATTCTTCTGTGGTTTGTAGTTCCTGTCCATGCTGGAGTGAACCACCACCACCGCTGGACGATAGGTGGCAGAAAAGTCATCTGTTCCCCGACTGAATCAAAAGCTCCAACACTGATGAGTCAATGAACGCAGTGGAAACGGTGCTACTGTGTCTGAGATTATTTTTTTTTATATGTGAAACACAAGACAAAAAGATTTAAATGACAAGTACATCCCTGTTTTATCTCCCTGGGCACCAGGGTTCACTTTGCATTGATACCAAAGAGGACTGATATTATGTTATGTTATATGTTTTGTAACTTTTCTTCATCTTTGACTTAAAATCCTCTGGAGAACAAAATATATTTCAACTATGTTTTGCTGAAAAATTCATAATCTGCTAAATTACTTACTCTAACAACATGTTTGGGTGCAAAGTCAGACTTTAAAGCTATTCCTGGTAGATGGAATTAAAAATTAAAGCTGTTACTTGAAAGAATAATGCTGTGAATGCAATTCTCTGAGAGATGTGAGTGCCAGTAAAAATCAATGGTAAGATGGAAATGGTTGTACTATTAGCTTCAAGAGTGGAAAGATATTCTTAATGATCTGTGACCTTAAAGGTTCAGTAGGTAACCTTTATAAAAAAATAATATTAACATATTCGCAGAGACTATATTGTGACAGTAGTACATGAGACAGATAATCTGTTCCTCTGGCTCCTCCTAGTGTTACACCAGCAGATAATATTCATCTGGATCTATTTAAATATTGTTTTTTAATTATTTTTACATTAACGATATTAATAATGTGATATAAAACCATATATACACCATGATATAAGATTATATCAATGTCTCCATTTTGAGTTTAAATGCTGATCGTGATCTAAATGCTATTAAAAAAAAAAAAGAATTCTTGTACCAAACCCTTGTACAAAATATAAGCCATCGGCACTTTCAATCCTAAAATATCATAAGTGCTACTGCATCAGTTGAACCCTGGATACAGTGAACTGAGGCATGCTGCTGACAGGAAGGGGAGGTGGACAGAGAGGTGTGAGGTAAAGATAGACCAGCAGAGAGACAGTGGCAGAAAGAGAGGAAAACACAGCATTTCTTTTGTGCAGGTTTTGTCACAATGCCTTTGTGTGCTGTTTGTCGGAGGCCTATTGTTTCCTGTTGGTGCATTTTGTTACTGTTGCCTATTTCAGCATCTCTGCTTCAAAGAGCTGAACCCCCACCCCCCCACCCCCACCACCACCTCTGTTGTCCTAATCCTCCCGCAGACTCACTGACTGGACCACAGTGGACATTAAAGCTATAATATGTAACATTTCCACATCAAAATGTCTAGAAACACTAGACCTTTGGTATATATTTGGTTGAGTTGTGCCCTTATTATCCCAAATGTTTCCAACAATGTTCAAACTCAGAGAAATCTGTCATTTTATTCAGGTAAATAAATTAAATTATTGCGCCTGTCAATGGCGTCATATCCCCCTTTGTGCATGCGTCTTGTGGTTTTCTGCCAGAAGTCATAAATTGACTTTTTTTTTATCCAGTTTTAAGCCACACTTTTACAATGCACCTTTTAAATCTCTGTTGTTTTTAACTATATAGTTTAAGATTTTAATCATCGGACCTGTGAAGTTATGAGAGAGACAAGTTGAGCTAACATTAGCAGCAGCTCGGCTCGCAGCCCCTCTGGGACGTCCTTTTGTCTGCCAAACAACGTCAAAGAAACACAGATTTTTAAAGTAAAAACGGCTTTATTCAGTGTTTTTAGCGGTTTTAATCACCAGCTGTGTTTGATTGGAGAGGAAGAGACCTCTGTGGATAATTCGGCCTCCGGTAAAAACCTCTGAGCAGCTGACTGCAATGACAGCAATGGTGGTGAAGACAACAACTCCCATGATCCCAAGCAACTTCACAACACCATCAATCTTCTTCTTTTGTTATTGTTTTTATGTGAGAGACCCCATATTGTACATTTAAGGTCACTTGTGTTTTTTTCCAGCAGCTCTAACCAAGTAAAAAGCATCACTACCTTTCAGGTATTAACAGCAGAGAACATACTGAGGCATCTTAAATGTTTCTGGACTGTTACTGAAATACCGTTTGGAGACATAAAGCCATAAAATTAAAAAATAATAATCTAATGAAATAATAAAAAATGTTAAGACTAAAAAAGAAGTCCTAAAAGCTGCATCCATCTGAGGTATCTGTTGTTTGCATGCTGGAGTCCCTCTCACATGACTGTGTGACTTCAACACTGTAAATATGAAACTTAAACACTGTAGATTCTGCTTTTTGACACCATGCCATCAGTGAAGTTGTTCTCCTCTGGATCAAACATTTTAACACAGGTCTCTAAACTCTTTGTCCTTGGTGAGAGCGGAGGAGAGACAGATGAGTGTCTGCATGACGACACTGTACAGATGATGTGTTGAGCGGATGAGTGGAGGAAAGTGTAGATCAGGACAACTGCAGCCAGCTCAGGTCATCTGATCTGTCAGGAAGAGGAAAAAGAGAGGACGTGCTTTTATATGGATTTCATTTCATTTGATGCTCTTGTTACCTTCAGTTTGATCCTAATTGTATGTTATTACATTCAAGCTACAGGTTTCAAACACACAGGTTACTTAAAGCTGATTTTCTTTGGCCACTTGGTGGCAGTGGAAACAAGTTGTGAATATAATGACCTTTTAAACTTAATTTAATGCTTACTTTTGCACATCCCAGAGAAACATTATCATTGATTTGGAGTTGTGTTTCTGGCGACCTGATGAATGTACATCCAATATTCACTCTCTTAAAGCTCTGTTTTTGGTCTCCACCAACTCTTATGAATATGTATCATGTTTCATATATAAGAAAATATGTATAACAGCCGCTTGAACAGCACTTTAACACTGTTATGAAGATATTTCCAGAATCCTCCAACAGTCTAGATGAAAATATATTCTGTCTCGTGCACAATAAAAATTATATTTAACCCATTTCCCAACTTGTGTCTCTGTCCTTAATACAAAGACGGTAACTGAAACTGACCTCCTTGCTCAATCTGTACAACATACTGTAACTCAACATGATTTAATCAATTATATTGGTACATTTGTTGGCCTATCCTACTTTCTAATATTTTATATTTCAATATTTTACTTGTGTGTTACATAAAAAACATATATGTTAATATATACAGTATATTGCAGCTCTTGAATTTCTGTCCCATATAACAAAAGCATAATAAGCTATTTTGTTCCTCTTTTATTAGTTAACTGTAAATAAAACTCGCTACATCTCTGTGAACATATCCAGTCATCCATCATTCAGACTTTACATACTCAGCCTCTTCCTTCGTGATAACTTTTCCTGTTAGGAGCCTCTCAGCGACTGCAGACACTCCTGGGTCGTAGTTTAGGCCTGCTGCCGCTATGACCTCATTATCCCTACACGTAAAAAAAAAAAAAAAAAAAAACATTAAAACATACATATATTGACATATATACATTAAAGGAGTTACATTTCTCTGGTGTTTGCAGATGTTTTTTCTCAACGTACTTGATGTAAAATGCCAAGAACTTCTTGTCCTCCAACTTTCCTTTCAATACAATCTCAGTGTATCCCTCTCCATAACCTGCACACAACCAGAAGAAAAACATGGCGACATATAATGGTGATAAGTAGTAAAAGAGTTAGGGTTATCATGATTCAGTGTATATAATTAGTGTTTACACTGAGGTATAGTGAGCGGTTGTTGCTTTGTGGTTAAAAGGTCCAAAGGGATAAAGTTGTTTTAGTTAGTAATTGGCTTAAATATCAAAATACAAACATATAAAATAATACTACATGATAATAATTAAAAAGATTAGTTCCAAACAATATTACATCATCTAAATTCCTACCTCTTGCTCTTGTGTGTGTTTGTGTGTAATAGTGCTGCGACAACCTCAACCATGTGACCATGAAGGCCTCTCAGTGTGGCTGCACTCAGCATTATTGTGTCAAATCGAACATTTACAAAGATACACACAGGCATACAAATATGTGTGTGTGTGTGTGTGTGTGTGTGTGTGTGTGTGTGTGTGTGTGTGTGTGTGTGTGTGTGTGTGTGTGTGTGTGTGTGTGTGCGTATGTGTGTATGTGTGTGCCCACCTGCATATCGGATGGTTGTACCCAGTAGGACGGTCCAGTAGAAAGGAACAGAGCTGAGTTCACTCTGTTTATCCAGCATGTTCAGAGCTGCTATCCTCCCTGAACGACAATAAATAAAAGTTTACATTTAACTGGAAACAACATATTATAGACACAGATATTGAACAGATAATATATTAAAAGAATAACAGAAAAAGAGGGTTAAACACAGTAATCACTATAACCTGTATCTCTTGATATCTACAGTTATTAAAAGTCTTTTTTTAAGCACACATACTGTGATTGTGTTTTCTCTGTTGCTTAATACAATAACAATACAATACAATAATCACACTGGACCTTACAATTCCTACCGACATTTACTTGCCCCACTATCTACCCTGATATCTCACTCAGAGGCTGTGTAGCCCAGCAGTCATCTTATGTTTTACAATAATCATATAATTTTTCAAAAATATTTTATCCTAAACTAAATACAACTGCAATATCTATCTTTCTACATGATATACAGTATATGAAAACATGGCTCATAATATTTGTATTATGCTAACAATGTTGTGGAATGAGTTAAACAAAAGGGTTTTTATAGAGGTCAGTAATCTCTTGGAGAACAATGAGTCTAAGTCTAACTTCCGAGTAAAATGTCCTGTAACTCTTCAAACATTTTATGCTGGCGTGAAGGTAGCTGAGGGGTTTGACGCTCCGTCAGCCATGTTTATTCTAAATAAAGTTTTGATTTACTACTTAAGATCAGTCAATAACTGAACAGCTTTGTGCAACAGATGATTTTAGACGTCAATCTAATTGTTAGTCAGATCATGCAACTTGCCAGACGACTGTGTGACTTTGTTACTACATTACCGTGTGCTTGTGCCATCTGCCAGTGTCCGATGTTGACTAGCTGGTTTTTGGCCATTGCCAGGGGGAAGGTGGCCAGGTCGCCCCCACAGAACACACCGGGGACATTGGTGCGCATGTACTGCAGGAGAGAAACACAGGCAGAGAACCGATGGTTAATAGTGCAGAATATACTGATTAGTGTGGAAAAAGCCCACGTTCATCAACATTAATGTGTGCTGCTCCTGGAAAACCTGTGCACTATTTAACTGCCCAAACACTGATAACATGATTGTTACAAAATGTGGGTGTTAAAACGTAATATATAATTTAATTACATATATAATATTTATTATAATATATAATGTGTTGTTACAACTGTTTTATGAGCTTGATGAATTGGATATAATCATGATTATGAACTGAGATGTTTCAGTAGTTAGAAAATATAAATCTAATAGTGTCAAAAGAAAAAAGAAATTATTATTATTATTATTAATAAAGTTTTTACACATAAAGCAGGGGGTTATGTTAAATACGAGATATTATGTATTGAATAATACTTTGATAATCAGGCGAACTGCTGGTTATTATCTGACCTTATCGACTGTTACAAAGTTTCTTGAGTCCATCTGTATTTTACTTCCCCGCAGGAACTCTGAGTTTGGTTTGACTCCTGGTGGAGAAACAGAAAGAGGACAACAGGTGTTGAGTAGGTTTTGTAAGAATATTGTTAAACTGTTTGACTCAGCTCTGTAAAAATTATAAAACAATTACAAAAAACCTTTTAAAGCCAAACTTATATTTCTTTGATACACAGAAAAGAAGACACAACTATGAAGCTACAGGCAGCTTCTTAGCTCAGTACAAAGACTGGAAACAGGGGAACAGTCAGCCTGGTTCTGTCCAAAAAAGCTACCTAATTACCACATTATATGTCTTTATTTTAATCCGTACACAACCTGAAATGTATTGACAATTCACTGTTATTTTACGGGCGGTGTTATGTGCTTGGCTCTGAGCAGTTGCCAGGCAACCAACAAGACTCCAGGAAGTTATTGTTTCCAGTCTAGAGATAGTGCGGTGTATAAAAGGGTGAATTTGAATTGTTTTGCACACATTAAACAAACAAGATATATGGTGTTTGTGTGCTTTAGAGGTGTTATTGAGCGGATTTCTTAACTTCGGACAGAGCCAGGCTACCTGTTTCCCCTTGTTTCCAGTCTTTGTGCTAAGCTAAGCTAACCAGATATGAGAGCGATCTCCTCCTCTAACTCCAGACTATCTGCCAGAAAGTTTAACCAAAATGTTGAACTATTCTTTTAAGACAATCAGGCTTTTGCAGAAAAATAATACATGATGCTTTGTCGGTCTGATGTTGCTGGTTTCAGGCAGTGAAAAAGAAAATAACATTTTTTACGCAACTATCAGCGATGATATAATTACTGAATTAACACATATGTTTAATTTGTTATAATCTGTTTTTATATGAAGTGATTTTGCTTTACAGGAAATGTCTGATTGATAACGTAAAGATGTTAAATAGTAATAAAGGGAATGGGCAGAAAAATGAATAAAGATTTTGTATGAATGTGAAACGTCTGCATTGCACTTACCAATACCAACAATCAAAACATCCGCTGGAATAACTTTTCCACTTTTAAGGACAACCTCCTTCACCTTGAGGAAGAAAGAGGATAGAACAGAGAATATTTATATTTTCCCAAAACATAAATTATGTTCTGTGTTAACTGATGTTAAAGTCTAAATGTGCCATTTTCCCACTTTACCTTTCCATCCACACCTTTGATCTCTGTCACAATATCATTCATGTGGAATTTCACATTTTTCTCTGAAAGCATCTGCAGGAACAACAGAGTTTAAACTACAAGTAAGTGTACTGAAAACAGACGTAATGTGAGGATTTAATACATCTCTCTCTCTCTCTCTCTCTCTCTCTCTCTCTCTCTCTCTCTCTCTCTCTCTTCTTACCATCATGGTAGCTCTGCCGATTTCACGACCCAGTGTGTTCTGGTACGGCAGCTCACTGCTGCCGATCACTGTGATGCTGGAGGCTTTGTCTATTAAATAAGATGCAATTTCCATGCCTGGAAAAAAAAAAGTTAAATGAAGGTGCAGTAGGGAATATTAGAAAGTACAAAATAATTCAAATGAACTGTACTGAGCCCCAAAACTTTTAAAAAGTAGTAAAAAGACAAGTCAACAATATAACTGAATAGATCCATAAATAATACTGTTAGTTATTATTGTTTTTATTGAAATGGAGGGTAAAAAGAAATATAGGCTTTATACTTTTCATCCAGTAGAGGAGCAAAATACATTTTACATTTATTTTATGAGCTAACTACAGAAAAAGTTTAAATCTTTATAAATCTTTCTTCTATTATTTATTAATGTAATCAGTGTAATTTTCATGTTTTTAACTCAGCTGATAACATTTTACAAGCTTTCATACAGCTGAACTCTTGATGTTTTATCTGATTTCACAATCGTTCAGCACATTTGAAGTTCTCTTTTTTCTGCAGTCTGTTTTAATTCCCAACACATCGCCAGTCTGAAACAGATATGTGCACATTTTGAACCACTCTCAAACACAGTACCAACAAAAGAGGTTCCCACAAGGACGACGTTGCAGCCCAGACAGGCTGCGTGGATTTGCCGGGCGTCCTCTGGCGTCTCCAACATCTTGACATTGTCCAACTTCATGCCAGGCACGTTCAGACCCTTTGCTCTAAAGAACAGGTCATGACTCTGTTTATGAGCAATACAGTGTAGTAGTGCTGCAACAATGACTTATACAACGTTAAGTTAAAGTTATCTGCTGCTGTTCATAGTTGACTGAGTTAAATATTTTGGCTAATATTGTAACAGTGAAGAGAAATGCTCCGGGTAATGTTTCCTGATAACAATCAATCTTAGAAGATAAGAGAGATTTCTAGTAATTTTTCTACGAATGCTCTTAAATTTATCACGTGCACCTCCCAAAACAGTACTATTAAAAGCCTCTTAACATTGGAGGTCTAAAGATGATACTGAATACACTTTCAAGTACTGTCTGTACGCTGTCTATATATATAAGAAAAGTTAAGAAATGTTCAATACTTGAAGTTGGGTGTGTATTTCCATACAGCTTTCCGGAGGACATCAGAGGAAACAACAGACAATATTTCCTCCATTAAATATGATCCAGTTTCAGCAAAAAATAAAGTTGTGATAACGCTGTGTTTTTGTACAGTAATCAGTGAGGTCCAGCCCCCCAGAAACATGCAGCTGCTAGCTAGATAACTAATGAGTCTTAGATAAGTAAGAGTTAAAGATTGATTGACAGGTGAATGTCATGATATTATTGGTAGAAATTGGTTCGTTACATAAGCAGACAAAAATATTGGATTTTGACACAAAAATACACAGAAATGTACTTTTTGGCACCTGTTGTTAAATAGGAGTTCAATATAACAAACAACAAATTACATGTATCATTTCAGCTGGACTTTAAAAATCAACTAAAACAATAAAAATGTAAATGATTCATGTTGTTTTTGGTTCCTCCTGCAGCTTCCAGAGCATCATAAGATATTGTTAGCCTTCCAGTATTTGTGTGTGTGTGTGTGTGTGTGTGTGTGTTAGTGTGTGTGTGTGTGTGTGTGTATTTGTCTGCACCTGCAGCCCGTTGAGATGAGGAGCTGGTCATAGCTCTGGACTGAACTATCATCAAATGTGACTGTCTTCTTGTCTGTGTCCACTGACAGCGCCTGTGAACAGAGAGTCCACTCAGTTTCACATCATGGCCTTTAAAATGGAAGCATTATGAGTCCGTCCACACGACAAGACAAACGTCTTATTCATTGTCCAGACAACATTGTGCATCAGACAAAATACACATAAAAATACCACAAGTATTAAGCATCGACATACACTGTTCAGCCTTAACATTATGACCACCTGGGCACCCTGACTGGTCTGTGGCTACGCAGTCCCATACCAACAAACTGTGATGCACTGTGTGTTCTGAGACCTTTCTATCAGAACCAGCATGAACTTGGCCACCCATGACCCTATCTCCGGTTCACAGTTTTTCCTTCCTACTGACCACTGCAGACCGGGAACACCCCACAAGAGCGGCAGTTTTGGAGATGCTCTGACCCAGTCGTCTAACCATCACAATTTGGCCCTTGTCAGAGTAGTTCAAATCCTCATGCTGCCCATTTTTCCTGTTTCTAACACATCAATTTTGAGGACAAAATGTTCTCTTGCTGCCTAATATATCCTACACACTGACAGATGTCATGATAACCAGATAATCAGTGTTATTCACTTCACCTGTCAGTGGTCATAATGTTTTGGCTGATCAGTGTAGATAAAGAAGGACGTGACAGCTCCCTAAAAGTGAAGCCAATATAGCAGATGGGACATGGGCCAAACAAAGAAATCAAAGTACACATCAAAAACATTTTTCCCAAAGATGGTTTCTGTAATTTTAGGTAGTTCTTATCACATTATTCAACAAGACTGAATATGTGAGGAGACAACTCACTTCTTTCCTGAGCCACACCTCAATGTCGTACTTCTGGTAAAACTCCATCCTCCTCAGCAGAATAGTGTCACTCTCCACATTCATTACCTGCAAGATGGGTTCAGGATGTGTGTCTTTATAAAACAATACAGAGATATTCATCACTAAAATCTGGGTGTTGTTGGTACAGTATCATGTCATTTACTCTGCAGCACCTTGCTGAGTCGGGTTTTGTCGTAAGGTAACAGCTCGTCACTGGTAACCATGATGATTCTACCGCCGAAGTATTCCTGACGTAGAACCTCAGCGCAGATTAAAGACGCAGCTCCTGCGCTTACGGAAAGTTAACACACCATCACACACACTAGGAAAACGTATTAGGACAAAGTCCAGACATTACACGCTATGACATTCATTATATTATTTATTACTCATCCAGTAATGTTCACTGTCCATGTGAACTTTCACATTATAACCATATTAAAGCAGTTGATACAGACTCATACTGTTGATCTGTGTAGTATACTCAGCGGTGTAATACTTATATATACATAACTGTTTGTATATAGATTACCTATAGTGACAGTTCCACTCACTGTATCAATACAATACTATAATAATATACAATATCTATTAGACTTGCACTTGTACAGAATATTACCAGGCACCATTAATGTATATATATAGAAGTAGAGCATGGTTTCTAGTTTTAGTCCAGTTTGTAGTTAAAATTTGAGTTATTTATGCTTTATATAAATAAATAACTATAAGCTATAAACACTTTAAAAGTTGTGTAAGATTAAGAGGCATCTAGCAGTATAGCTGCAGATCACATGTACACCCCTATCTAGAGCCAGTGTTTGGTTTGTCCCTTTAGGGCTACTGTAGAAACATGTTGGTTCAGCATGACTCCATGAAAAGTGACCTGCAACGCCTGCAGATAAAAACGTCTCATTCTAAGGAAACGAGAACACAACAGTTCCTATATTCAGGTGATTATACACCAATGAAAACATACATTATATATATAATGTTACACACTGGACCTTTAAAAGTTGGACAGAGCTGGTAAATATGTCATTAAAGTAATATAGTAGTTCTGCTCAGTCAATTCATTCTCTATAAAATGTCAAAATACTGAATGCCTGTTACAAGTGTACATCTTCAAGTGTCGATAGATATTCAATTTACAATTATAGGAAACAGAGAAAAGCATCAAATCCTCACATTTAAGAAGCTGGAACGTATTTGACATTATTGCTTCAGCTTAAATGACAGCAACACATACACACACACACACACACACACACACACACACACACACACACACACACACACACACACACACACACACACACACAGACATATAGAGTGGTCCACACTCACCTCCTCCCAGCAGCAGAATAGTGTGATCGACTCCTGGTACTGCAGCTCCCATACTCTTTATTCTTTTTTGCTGCCTGAGAGTCTGAATCATATATGAAATACACCATCATATAAACTTGTCAATAGGAAGACTTATTAACAATTATTTACATATACAAAGGGTCAAAAGTATAAAAAATATGCTGTTAGTCACCCACAATAAATCCCAAATACAGTAACCCTATTATGTACTCTATATTATTGATTAGAGAATTACTTGTCAAAGAGGAATTAATTAATTAAATAATTAATTAGATTTCAGCTGTGTTCTTTATTTTTCTACCATAAGTGTTTTATTACTAATAACTTTCCAATTAAACTATTGATTGATTATTTTTTTGGGGGATGAATACTGGTTTTAAATGTCCCTTCACAGCCACCATCCACCCTCAGAGGTGTTTCCTCTTATGTTGCTCTGATTAGATTAGACAGACTGAGAGCTCCCTGGCTCTCCGGTTTCAGTCTTACATCTTCATCACTGTTACAGTCATCCTCCACTGAACACATTAGGAAAGTGTTAACAATAAAATGAATGATGGCTGCTTTATGCTGACTTACTGTCACAGCTTATTGAGCCATTGTTGATGTTATTAGTGTCTTTGGTGTTAAATGTAACACTCATAGTGCCATCAAACATTCTCAAAGTGGAACAAAATAAATAATCTTCATGGTATTCACATCACTTTCAACTAACAATCACATTTTATAGATTTTATAGACTCTAAACCCATCAGTCATGATGACCAGAAAGTGAGTGATGGAGTGATTAAAACCAGAGCTTTACACTATAAAGGTTTATAATATATTATAAGCACATTCATAAGACAATGTAATGCATTTGTAAGGCTTTATAAAATTCTTTATACATGTTTTTATCCATGCTTGTCAACTTATAACCAGATTTATAAAGAGGGAGACATTATGTACTATACGTTTAGCATTCATAATGCTTTATACATCCATGCCAAAGTTTTGTATACCTATTAGCTAATAACCTTATACATAGCTGTCACGTTACTTTAAGCTCACAAAGTCATGCTATCATTAATGTTCATGATAAAGTATTCTATTTCTGAAATTTATAATTATAGATCATTTCTTTAGTTTGGGGGTTTAATAGCAGATGATTAGTCTAAAACATCAAACTATTGAATACAAACACAAAAGACATAAATAAAAGACAAATGTATTATCCCTCACAAACCCTTATGGCCTTATTTCCACAGTCAACAGGATAAAGTTACAAGAATGTGATGAGACAGGAAAAAGAAAAGTTAATCTACTAACCTTTTTGTTTATAGACACATACACTTTGCTGTTTTGAATTTTGACCTTCAAAAGAGAGAAAGGACAAGTTAAAATGACAACATGGAGCCATAAGACAAATATCAGTCTGTCGGTCTGTCGGTCTGTCTGTCTGTCTGTCTGTATGGTTTGTACCTTGTGGCAGGGTAAACCGTCCATGCCGGGGTATTCTTCCAGATCTCCTGTATGGACGTTGAAACAGGCACCGTGCCACGGACAGCGCACTGTGTTGCCTGAAATAACCCCTGAACATTCACACACACACACACACACACACACACACACACACACACACACACACACATTGAAATGTTATATTTTCCATAATTTCTGTTTTATCTAGATCATCAACATATGAAAGCATCCCATCCTCCAAACTGAGTCTCATAGACTTTACTCAGATGTTGAATGAAGCTGTGTCACGTCGTGCCTCTTTACCTTTGCTGAGCGGGGCGCCATAGTGCGTACACTGGTTACCCATGGCACTGTATTTGCCCTCGCTGCGTGCCAACAGCACGGTGTGGCGTCCCACTTCAACCTCCATCATCCTGAAGTAACACAACCACAGACGGATACTGCAATCAACTTCACACCCAAAGGAGTCTTTGGAGTTTTATAGTATTATTATTATTTATATTATTATAAGGTGTGAAATAAAGATTTTGTTCCTTCTTTGTTTTGTAAACTTTTAGGTTTGTACTTGTAAACTCTGTGTTAAAATATTGCAGATATTAAGGCCTGTGATTGTTAACATCATGTCTCCAGGGACGGCAATGTCAGTCTAAAGTCAAAAATAGGTTTTTCTTCTTGTTCCTACAGTTGGATGTTTGAGCATCACTGTACAGAATAATGTCTGTGCAGAGTTTGACACTAGAAGGATGTTACTGATAATCTGATGTTTAAGGGGCGGGGCTTACGAGCATGATTTGTGACGTCACAAATAGTTTGGAAGTCAAATACTAGTCCAATATGCACTTAAGTGTGATGTAGAAACTTGAAGCCACCAGTGCACATAGACTGAGAAAGAATGAAGTAGGAGACATCCTGTGTCCAACAGGAAAACTTTAGAATTTAAGCCAATTCGCATATTCATAGATTTTTTAAGTTTTAATGAGGTAGAAGGAGGAGATGTCTTTTTAAGGATTTTAAAGATGAAAACCTGCACACTGTCTAACTTGTAAGACTACATGCATTTTGCCTGATGAAGGTCTAGTAACCAAACGTTGCAAATAAATGTAGTATTGCAGGTTAGACACAGTGCGTGGGTATTCATCTTTGCCACTTTTACTACTCCTACGCACCTGCCTCATGATACATACCGATAGAAGCATTTTTTCATATGTTTCATCTGTTTTTTCGCAAAGAATTTAAATTTAAATTTGGATACACACAATATTGTTCCAAACAGAGTATTAGTATAAGTCTTAATATATGTGTCTGTAGGGGATCTTTAACAAATATGTGGTGCACTGGGATGAAATTCATGAACTCCAGAGGATGAAGTCCTACTGACTTCTGTGACCTTCATTTAGTGCCACCATGAGGTTCACTTTCTTGATTTTTAGTGACATAATGTTTATTGACCACTGTTGGTTGGATTGCAGATTGATCGTTTCATCTGGTGCCGTCATCTGTTGAAAATATATTGTATGTATGTATTTTTTGTACCAAAACACCTGCAAAAGTAATCAAATTCCCATCAGGCTCAGCTGTACATTATGTGTAGTGCTATTTAGCTCACATGCTAAACTAAGATGGTGAACACACTAAACATTATACGTAACATTGTACATAAATTTGTTTGATTAAAGTGTCGGAAACCACTGAAATGCTTTAAATATCTTTAAAAATAAATTATATGTAAATGAACCAATTTAAATGGCACATAGGTTATTTGTGTGTGTATCCTAATTTGTTGATTAATAGTTAATAAACAATAAGTAATAATAAGTCCTGATGAATAAATAAAAACAGGTTTTAGGGTTGCCAGGTTGTGAACATCCTCCCCTTCTTACTGTCCATCCTTCAGGTCTGACTCCAGACACACCACGTTTGTCAGCTCCTCTGATGTGTCCTCTGGATCGGAGTCTGAAAACTCCTGGCGGGCTGAACACACACACACACACACACACACACACACACACATGCACACACACACACATGCACAGACACACATGCACACACATTTCAAAGGAAATTAAAGGACATAATCACTTAAATGTTGCTCGATTAATATCATTATTTCCATTTCAGCCACCCAGAAAACACCCAGTGACTCAACTGCAGTGACATTCAGTGACAGACCAATAACCTGATCTGTTATTCAATCAATAAAAGTGACAGGTTACTCACGTGGTTTGGTCCCGGACATGTTTCTGATTCAGTTGTAACTCCACCAAGATACACAAACCCCCTCCAGAAACATTAAAAGCTGATCAGATGCTCCGCTGAAGGAAGTTTTTCCGAGTTCACAGGTTGTTTTCTGCTCATCAGCTCAATGATGGGATAGAAGTCCGTTTCCACGGCAACCGGTCCATCCCCAACCCTCATCCCTTTGATCCTTGGAGACCATGAAACGTGGCCTATTTGAGTTTGATGAAGATTTAAAAAATAAAAAATAAAAAGGTAAAAATCAACCAAAAGTTTAGTCTGCTTTTGGGTCTCCGGTGACTGAGCGGTTTGGGTGATGTCACTGGTCGTGTTCAGCCCCGTTATTGTTGCAGAGAAAAGGCGATGGTGGTCTTTTGTGTTTCACTGCGGCGGTATAGAGAGAAAGGCTGACGAGGCAGTCGACGCTGAATGGACAGGCGACAAAGAGGCAAAACCGGAGGTGGAACCATCACATCTCAGTCGGTTCAAGTTTCAAGACTCATCCACTGCAAAGATCAAGGATTTAAAAACAGAAAATCATCCGGTTTTTAATTTTAAAAGAGATTAGTAATGGGCTGCAGTGGAAGAAACACTCAGCAGTAAATAAAGATCATGCAGAGAAGTATTCAGTAAATATTCACACACACACACACACACACACACACACACACACACACACACACACACACACAGGTATATGGGCCACCAGGTGCGCTACCTGAAGCCTCAGAGGAATAACAGTATCAGTAAGAGCTTGCTTATAGTAGGAACAGTCTCTTAATATCATTTTATAAGGAGTAATAAGGATATACCTGCTCTATATTAAGAGCCCTGAGTTTATTTCTGTTATGAGTTGTACAAAGCTGTACAAATAAAATGTAATGTAATTTAAATAATAGTGAAACGAAAATACTTTTTTTTTTATAATCTTTTAATTTTTCAGCCCTCTCAAGGATCCATGACAACCACTGATTATGATAATGTTAGCATGCTAATGTTAGCACTTAACACAGAAAGTCATTCTCCTTAATTATCATTATTTTATTATTTTATTTTTTATTTAATTCATTTTTACTTTAATTTGTGGGTTTTGTGGCTCCATTTGTTATCTGTAGATGGTGCTTTGTCTCCTGGATATGAACACATACATAGTTGCCTCATATTGGAGCTAATGGTCTACAACCAGTTTGATTCAATTGTTTCTTTTAATACCAGGAAAGACGTCATGCCATGATGTCCTGTGATGACCATGACCCTTAACCCATTACCAGTGACCAGTTTATCAACTCAAAGTGAGAGGAGGAATGTGTGTTAGAGGCCAAATATTGCATTCATATACAGCGAGAGACTTCAGCAGTTTGTTTTTCATTCCCTCGTTCCTCAAAGTGTATTTTTTAAGCTCAACCCGCTGTGCCCTGAACTCAGGAACACATGGGATTTGAAGTGAACTCTGGGGAGGACCAGGCTCTGTGGTAAAGTCTAGTTATGGATTTAAGATCAACACTTCTGGTTATTGGAGGATCTGCATGCTCTTTCAAACTTCTGAATCTGATTGTCAGATTCCTTCCCGCACCAGAGACGGCACGCAAGAAAGCCTGGAAGTGGAGGAATACCAGCACTTCTTTGGTTCACAGCTCGCTGACAGGAGCATGAGCTGTTTTATGGTGCGTAAAGACACAGTAATCAGGGTTGGTAGTCATTTATTTTAATTTTTTTACTCTTCTCTCTTTCTCACCATGTAGTTTGTACCATCAACCTCAGATGTTGGAGGACGTGATCTCCTCTCGTTCCACGTTCTCCCACAGCCTTGTGTCTGTGTCTACAGGTGACACGCTTCCACTAACGCACACAAATTCCCACATTAACACACAGATGTACATCAACATCAACAGACAGATCAGCTGCACATTTAAATTATTTGTTATTCACTAATTAAGAAATGAAACAGGAAACTAAAAGTCTAGTGTGTAACATTTAGGAGGATCTATTGTCAGAAATGGAATATAATATTCATATGTATGTTTGTCATTAGTGTATAATCGGTGTCTACAGTCGCCACGGGTCGTCTTCCATGGAGCCTGCCATGTTTCTACAGTAGCCCAGAATGGACAAACCAAACACTGGCTGTAGATAGGCTTGGTTCTCAATCACAGGCCGTCAAATACAGATGCGAGCGGTGTTCAGTTAGTCGCAGTCTGCTACACGCTGGTCCTCTGCAACAGCCGTCTTGATAATTTCCTCACAGTTTTTAGGCTTTTACAAGAAGGACTTCCAGGTCATCAATCTGTTCCAGGATTAAATCAAGGAAAACATACTTTACCTCACTTGCTGAGAAAAGCAGGTTATATACTGACATTAATTTATGGGATTGATACAAATGTCTCCCACCAAAACTTCCTTTCTGCAAGGTTTAATAAAGAGTTTGAAAAAGCTTCAATCAAAAAAGTGAAAAGAGGAGTTTTTCTTCCTGGTGGCCACTTTTATTGAGCCTGAGATCACTGTGAGAAAGTACGTTTCTTTGCACATTAAGATTTTAGGTTCAAAACATGTGATTATATCATGCATAATTATATTATATGACACTAAAATACCCAACAGCATGGCTGATTAACCTGTATGGGTTGTAAACTTTGTTGTTGGGCCCCTATTGCCCCTTTCTTCATCAAATACTAGAAACCAACCAGAGCTCCTATGCTGGAATATCAACTGGCCACAGGTTTACTTGTGAGTTATCTGAGGGAGTTTGTTTTAATAACTTTATTTATGTACCATGTGAGGACAGTAAAAAACAAAATTAACTTTTGACATATAAGACACATCTTGATGGGGCCACTAGGGTCGGGGGAAGATGTCCAAGGGTATATAGGTATAAAGTAAATAAAACTGGATTTAGTGTATTAGCTCTGTCTTGACCAACTATAGCACTAAAATCCTCCTCACATGTTAATGTAGTAGCAGTAATAATCTAATATAGGAATGTGCCTTTTTCTGATGATACTTCTGCACTTTCACTTTTACAAGAGGATTTTCCACTATAGTTATTATTACTTTCACTTGGTTAGAAGATCTGAGTTTTTCTTCCTCCACCTGTAATGTAATATTATCAAATAAGGATGCTAATTAATATTAACTCTGTGAAATTCCTAATATCGAGAGTATTAATCATAACACTGTGAGGTGTACTTCTTAATTTGTCCACCCCTTACATCTCTGTGTGTTGACAAGTTCAGCGAATAAAATTGCACAGTCATGTTGTTTGTAACTCAAATGGTTCAGCCTTGATCTGTGTGACACTTGACACTCAGGCAGCAGAGATCGTGACCCGCCTCACCTCCAGCAGGGCAGCAGCCCATCACCTCTGTGTGTGTGTGTGTGTGTGTGTGTGTGTGTGTGTGTGTGTGTGTGTGTGTGTGTGTGTGTGTGTGTGGCTCTTTGAAACTGCTGATTTAACAGGAGAGGTAGTAAATCATTTATTTACTTCACTCTGAGGACCACAGCTTCATTATAGTTCTGCTTGGTGCAAGTGTGTGGGAGTTTTATGTATATATATATATATATATATATATATATATAGTTTGATCACTTACCTTTTGGTAAAGGGCATCACAACATCTGGATCAAAGTCTAGCTATAACAGCTTATCAATATTTTCCACTGCAGAGGTCCTCCTGATCAATAAAAGACAATAACAAGTGAAACAACTTATCTTAGTGGACATTATACAACAGCCAAAGGGATTTTTTGCGACTTGACAACCTGAAATGTATCCTTCTAAATACTTATTACAATGTATAATGATTGATTTATTTTATCCGTTACTTCATAATCTGAACCCTTAGAAAGTTGCAAAACGGTTGGTTTCTACATTCATTAATTATTTTATTGGTAACTAAAAGTCACCTCAAAATGAGTTTTAACATGTGTGAATGACATTTTGCTGCATGTGACTGTGTTACATAATAATGTATTGGATTATAATTATTGATGCGTATCAATGTTGCTGCTATTAAAGGTGGAGCTGATTAAATCCCCCTGGTGGTCAATTATGGTTTATCTGTATATCTATAATGTTAGATTATAATTTATTTGTTCATTATGTTTTGTATTATTAATCTGAATCTGCAAAGTAAACAGTAACTAAAGCTACCAAATAAATGTAGTGGAGCAAAAAGTACAATATTTCCCATCAAAATGTAATGAAGTATAAATTCAGAAAATGGAAATACTTAAATAAATTACAAATACCTAAAAATAAAAAAACTTAAGTACAGAACTTGATTAAATGGACTTCCGCCACTGGATTTAACTCTGGATTTAACCTTTGATTCTTGTGTTCAAACTCTTTTGTCAGGTGACGTCCTGTCTCAGTTTGGCTGTAACGTCCCGTCTCTATCTGGGCTTTTCTGTGGTGTTGTTGCTGATGGAGATCAACTCTGTTTTCCTTAACATCAGACAACTCCTCCTCCTGTCAGGACAGAGGAACAGGTCAGGGACTGAAATTACAGCTCCTCGGCCCTCTGTGACCTACAGCATGACCAGCTGGCTCTGCCTGGGGACGTAGGTGGCTTCTCTTCACTCTCTTCACAATGGTCACGTGAAAAATCACAAGTCAAACTGCTTCTTGGACTAGACAGTTTTCATATGTGAGCAGAGGTGGCAAACGTACACACATTCTTTACTAGAGTAGAGATAGAAATACTGACTCAACTTCTTTACTCAGTTAAAAGTTAAAAAGTACTCTTTTGGTTTCTCTGAAGGATGTTTCTGTGCAAAGCTAACTGAAACTTCAAATAGGTCGAGTCTCCCTCTCTTGTCTGTATTGCTACTTTTGTCATGTCACATCTGTCATGAAATAACTAACTAAATAATAATAATAATAATAATTCCCCTCAGATGCATTAAAACTAAAGTGGCGAGCCTGTTTTAAAAATTTAAGTAGTTTAAAGTACAGATATTTCTGTAATATTGTGGGCAGTAAAAGTAAAAAGTTGTCAGAAAAAGATACCTGAAAAAAATACGAAAGTACACTAACAAAGTATTTCTACTTAGTTACTTCTCACCTCTGTGTGTGAGTGTGTGAAAGCTACATTTAAATGTGAACCTGTGTCTTTCCACATGAGAAACTTATGTTGTTGGACACAAGGATGTGAAACATCTGTATATATGAGATTCATTTTATCATCACAGGAGGATATCTCTAATATAATCTGGTTTTCAGAAGTCCACACAGTCTCTCATTGATTATCGTCTCTTATTGCAGGTTATTGGTGTTTCGTGTCTCTATAGCAGCTTGGATAACCCCCTGGCTGGCAGCCGCTTACAGTAAACAAATACCTCGCTATGTCCTGATGACG